CTGTGCGAGCTCCCAACCGTGCTTCCCTGTTCACTCCCAACCAAGTTAGATAAAAAAGATACTGAAGATTGCAACCTTGAGTTGGAGTATGGCAAGGAGTCTGGAGTTAAATAAATTATTATGTTCCTACACAGTATTTTATTTATAGGTTTTAATGCTTTAAAGTCTAATAATAAATTTTCGTTGTCAAGAAGATAATCTAAAAAAACTACGAAGATTTCTTATTATAAACTTGAAAGATTAAGATTCGGTTCAAATATACAAATTTTAAATTTCTGGCGCCTGTATATAGGTATGAATGCAACCTACTATATCGATAATACGCTCATAGTTCGGGTTAGACGCCAAAGGCCGCGCCACTAACACAGTCTTCAAAAATTAACGTTGATCGGTCTCTCTCACTTTAGTTATTAGTGTTCTCTCTGACACAGTTTTAGCATTAAAATTTGTAACACGTATAGTAACTTTTACCCTCAGAATTGAATTCAAATCACTAAAAGTACTTGGAAGAAAATTATAATAAATCGAAAGATTATTAAGACTTTAACACCCTGTAGCTAGGAAACAAAGCAGAATCGGACCTATGTTGATATGAAAAATAAGTCTTATTTGACTTGAGAAATCTCGCCATGCGCGATGGCACATGTTTTTTGAAACACCCTCTATAGGACAGTGACAGATGGTGTTTTTTGTAAAAAGTCGCCTATCATAATCTTATATTCTCTGGCTACACAGATTATACAGGTGCGTTAACACTATTTTTGAAGAAAATTTGAATATTTGCCATTTGGGCTCTTTTTAAATGTTCCAAAATACCGTTTAATTATTGCCATTTAATCGAAAATTGAAAAAACGACGTAAGTACGAAATAAATCTACGAATTACGTTTGAACGGTCTGCTGCTACAAGTATTAAAAGTTGGAAATATTTTATAAAATACCAACTACCCCCTCTTTTTGCAAAACCTAACTCTACGTTCGTCATCTAAAAATTATAAAAAATATTGTACTATATTCGTCAAATTTTATCTCTAACTAAACCTTTGTCAAACGAAAACTACACATGTAGGTAAATATCTTAATATAGGAAAAGTAACGGTTTCATTGCTTCTTATTTAGTTTTTAGTGATATGACTAGTTCTACGACCTAATAATTATTACATTCCTGTGGTGAAAAAACAAAAATAACGCGGATTGGAATATATTTGATAATAGAAATGACAGTTGTGTGTCATTTTCAATTCATAAGGAATAATTTTTTTTGTCATTTTTGAGAGTTTTGTCATTTTCTCGAGATTAACCTGGTAATGTCGATATTAACCGAATATCGGACCTTAACCGTAACATAATCACTTACCAGAGAAATTCCAGTTGATATAAAAATAAACTTATACAGTATGTATATACAGTATGTCCCCGGATTGTCTTTACAAGAGAAAAGACTTTTATTGTTGACATTTTGAGAAAACTGCATTCTTCATAAAAAAATTTGCTTGTTCTAAAATGATTAATCCCGTTTATACTTTTCCAAATTTTTAAAACGTTTTCGAGAAAATTAAGAAAAACATGAAAATATGGTTGAATTTTTTCCTAAAAATCAAAAGGCGTTTCTATGGTAATATCAATTCTATTTCATTCTTTGATATACTCTGTTTTTTTTCTCGGGTAAGATTTCGACAGACGATGACAGAAGAAAAGCAGATGACGTTCCATACCAATCTATTTATTTTACTAAAAAAAGTTTCTAATAATTTTTAAGTTAACTCTGGATGGGTTTAAATATAAATCCGTCATGCGTCGTCTCTTGTTGTTTTTAACCAGTTTTATTGGTTTATTTCAAAAATGACAGATCGTATTTCAATTTTATTGGTTTGACGGAACGATGAACGACAAACGGACGCCGATGCGTATGAACTCGCCTTTAGATTTTTGACGCTTGTCAAATTATAGGTTATAATTTTGTGTCAACTTTTGTCAAATACCCTGCGTTTTGGAAGATGATGCATTTTGATTCGTGTTATTACGTGTGTTTTGTGTCTTTTGAAGTCAAGTGAAGGAAAAATCGAGTGAAAATTAACTGTAGACCCAGAGCACAGTTTATGGTTAATACTTGCTGCCCAGAAAGTCTTATACACCAATAAAGTTACCATCAATAAAGTTCGTATACCATCTCGTCGTAGATAAGTGCATCTCAAATATGGTAGAAGGACCATACTAAACACATACTAAAAACTGGAGTAGCTGTAAAATATCGATATCACACGATAGGTAAATAATGGATTTTAGTACTGCAGAAAAATAATGTCAAAAGGTACTGATTTAAAAAGATTAAAGTTAATTAATCAATCTTTAAGGTATAAAATTTAGTAAGTGTTATTATTAATAAAATAATTTGTTTTATTTATGCTGTTTTATTTATTCCTGCGAAATATTACAAATTTGTATTTGTATATAAGTTACCTATATTGATAAATATAATCATAAATGCGGGTAGTTTCATAAAGCTTGAAAGTAAGAAATAGTTTCTTTTTATATTTATGTATATGGTGTCTTGTTTTTCTTTGTTTTGTATTAACACATACCGTTTTTTATTAAATAAAATAACTCGATTACATTTTTTCAGTTTTATACAGTTTGTTTCACAATATTTTGAAGTAATCACTTGTCAGTCAAATTTTAAATATATTAATTTCCTGCTATGCGTTCCAGTTGTACCAACTTATTTCTTTGTAAAATAAAATAAACTACTTTGAAATTAAAATGACAGACACATCTATCCACTTCCGTTCGGTCAGTCGTCGTGGCAACATTGAATACTGTCTGATGGTTGGTTGTTCGGGAGTCAATTTTTGTTTCTTGTTTTCTGTTAATATTCTTGTAATCGTTTTGTAAAAGCTTAATATTTTTTGGTATAAAAGTTTTAAAGTCGATTCGTGTCCCATTCAGATACATATTTTTGTGAAACATTTTTAAAGTTCGCCTACTATAAGTGCAATGAACATTTTTATACAAGTTCGCCTACTTTGAAGTGCCATGAGAAAATTTATTAAAGGACAACTCTTTTTTCACGTTGTCACGGGGTAACCAGGCCCTATGTAGCCGGATGCTACCAGCGTGGGAGAAGCTTTCGAAATGATCATATAAGGACCTTTTTTTTTTGTTTTGATTATTGTGGAATGGTAGATGGCCCCAATATGGTGTACAGCCAGACAACATTGAGGTCATCATGAAATTGAGCTGGCAATTGCCTAGTAGCAGAGCCAAAACCAGACGAGAGAGAGAGACACATCTATCACTGTCAAGGATCTTCTCGTTGGACAGACTATAGATGGTTATTATTAATTTTGATTATTGTGGTATTCGTTGCTGTTTTTAAAGTATTATATTTTCTGATAACTTATCATCGCCCTTTCCGTAGCATTGAACTAAATAAATTTTGTGCATCACATTTTGTGCACATTTTAAAACAACAAAAAACATTACGTCAATTAAAATTATATGAATAACAATCTACCAAAGAATGAAAACGAAGTTATATTACCACAGAAACGCGTTTTAATTTTTAGAGCTTCATTTTTTTCCAGGGCTTCAATTAGGACTTTAGGAAAAAATCAACCATATTTTCATGTTTTTCTTAATTTCCTCTAAAACGGTATGGAAATTTGGAAAATTATAAATGGGATTAACCATTTTAGAATAAGCAATTTTTTTATGAAGAATACATTTTTCTCAAAATGTCAATAATAAAAAAGGTTTTCCTCTTGTAAAGACAATCCGGGGATATACTGTATTTTGAAAAATTAAATACATGAAAGGATAAGGAAATTAAATAATATCCTTTACATTTTTTAAATAAATTTTGTATATGGCCACTTGTCGTTGTGGCCTGCTATAGAAAAAAAATACCTTGTCAGTATTAAGTAGTAACGTTACAGTTTTTTTTGACGTTGTGCAACTGTTACAAAATAGGAACTTTGGGTTTATATGTTAACAGGAGAAAAAAACAATAAAAAAATATTGATAGATTAAATATTTCATTCAAATGACCTATGTGACTTTGTTATAAGCATATTGCATCAGAGCCAATGTGCTTTGTCAGAGCACTGTTTTGGGTTCCTTTCTACAGAGTCTGCTGATATTCACTAAACAGGACTAATTTGTGTCTTTTTACCCATTCATGATAGAGAGTCGATGTTATTACTCGCTGTTATTTTACAACTGTTATTTCGGAATAACAGTTTGCAATACTTTCAAAAAATACGAGGGTTCCAACAGAGACTGCTCGCTATGTAGGATTTAACGATCTGTTATTTTACAACGAGTGTTACATAGAAATAACAGTTTGTTTGAAATTACAGATATAAAAATACCCGTGTTCCAACAGCAACTGCTCGCAATATAGGGATTTAACGATCTCTCGTTTTACTTAGAAATAACAGTTTGCAATAACTTTCAAAAAATAACTGCTAGCAATATGGGGATTTTGCTGTTATTTATAAACGAAATATCATCGTAACAACAGCTATTTTAGAAACGTCTTTTACTTATTTCACTGAGCTTTATGAAAAAAATGTCCTTTGCCTCGGTTACAGATACCGCTTCGTTTTGGAAATAGCTCAAAACGAAATAAAATTGAATGAGGCAACAACTCACGAGTAGTTTTCAGCCGCTTTTAAGAATCGAAAGTAGGTCGAGACTTTGAGTGGATCAAGACAACTGAAAATAAACCTAAATGCGACAAAGTTGGGCGACGAAAGGCGACCTTGACCTGCTTCGAAGAGTTCTCCGCATAGTGTGTAGCGTGTTTAATACTGGCCTAATTCCAGTGCTTATAATCCAGTCACATACATCATTTGGGTAAAATACAAGCTCTGATAATGGTTCTTAAGATATTTACCTCGAATGAAACCCCTTCTAACGTATAATTAAGTCTTCGAAACCACAACGAAAACATTCACTACAGTTATCTCTCGAGACCACTGTTCATTTGAGTTTTCGCTATCATGCCCCTACCCTGTAGGGATGATCGGAACTTTTGGACGAGCAAGGCTGCGCGTCGTCCACGTTGACAGCTGCCGGTTTTTTGGACTGGGGTTGCAGCTGATTGGCGTTGGTGGTCGCCACCGCAGCCGCCGACGCGGCCACCGGTTTGTAGTTGTGCATCGTTTGATTGGACGCTTTGTGCTCGGGACTGGGCGACGGCTGTCGCTCCTGCAGGTCGAGGTTCGGGTCCTCGCCTACGGGCTCGTAGATCCTGGACGAAGTGCCGCACCAATGGACTAGGCTGATGATGGCGGATTCTACGCAGCAGACGTAACCCAGACTCTGAAAACAGTAAACATTGTTATCTATAGAGAAATCGCAAACTGCGATTCAATCGCAGCGATTTTAAAATCGCATTCGCAACCTGCCATTGACTCTCATAGGAAACTGCGACAGCGATTTCTTCTATTTACGAGTTTCAATTTATGCAACCAATATTACTATAGTTGCGATTTTGCTGCGATTTGCGAGTTTCAATTTAGGCAACCAATATTACTATAGTTGCGAGTTGCGATTTGCGATGTTGCTGCTATTGTGATTTTGTAAACTAGGACCGTGATACCTAACCTAACCTTCTATCTGCGAGTTTGAATTTTAAGGAGTTGCGATTTGCGATTTTGTCGCGAATGTAATTTTGTGGTCCATTGAAGCATTTACTATACATTGCTTCAATTCCATTTTTTCTCTGATTTTATTTATTTATAGAAAAGTTATTATTTTCTAGAGCCAAGATCATAATATACCAGGTGTTTCTCAAGAGTGGTTCGCCCCTATAACTTTTTTATTTTTCCTGATAAAAAAACGAAATTTGGTATGTTTGTATATGACATAAATTAGGATTGATTGACGTATTAAATTGTTTATTTACGGTCACTTCCTGTTTCACCGGAAATTATTACAACTTTCGATTTTTAAATGGCACCATCGGTATTTGTTTTTCTTTATTCGATAGAAAATGACACTCTGAATAGAATAACATATCATATGTCAGCTTTTGACATTCCCGCTTGAAAAAAAAATGTATTTTAAATTTCAATCTAGAGTGTCATGGCTGTGTTAGAAAAAACTAATTTTTAATCAAGGAGCCTTGAAAAAATAGACTTGATCGTCTAATATTTTAGTGTCTTGTCCTGGCCGGTTAAAAGATGTACAAATCGTATTTTTAATCACATCTTAATTTTTTCAAATGGAACGAGGGTGGCTCATTAGCATATTTGGAAAAAGCATTTTTTGCGAATAATTTGGTACTTCCAGTCACATTGTCGCTATGAACAGCATGTTACAATTTCAAATAAACTATATGCAAAAATTTCAAAAGTTGACAAATGATATGTCATTCTATTCAGAATTTAATTTTCTCTCAAATAAAGTAAAAAAATACCAAGGGTACCATTTAAAAATGAAAATTTGTAGTAATTTCCGGTGAAACAGGAAGTGACCGAAAACAATTGAATACGTCAATGAATCCTAATTTATATCATATACTGACATACGAAATCTCGTTTTTTTATCTGAAAAAATAAAAAAGTTATAAGGCTGAGCCAACCATTTTCGAGACGCACCAGGTATACAGGGTGTTTCAAAAAGTACTCTTAACGATTCGAATGAAATTTTGAGGGTAAAAGGTACTATACGTGCAACAATGCTCAAAAAGTGTCGGCATATTTTTCTAAAAAAAAAAAAAAACACGTGCGCCACTCGCTTTTTTCTCTTGTTAGCAAAATTGTGTAGACCGTTTAATAACGATTAAAAGTTCTCTTGATATTTTGTCGATTTCGGTCTCCATGATGAAATAAATGCAATTTTATTAATCACAGTTAATAATTTTTGTTTAATCCACGTTAAACGAAATAAACGTTGATATAAGAAGTAGATGAAAGGAAAAAGTCATATTTACCCCAGTTACTAATAGTTGATGATGTGTCCATTTGGGGACCCATGCAAAGGCCTCTGATGAGAATATCATGTGGAATATCAATGATGAAGCTACGAGGAACAACACGCTAAGATTTACGTACAAATATGCATTCTGAAAAAAAGTGTATATTATTAGACAGAGACAAACAGTATAGTTGACTAATAACTGCTCTACCTATTCTTTTAATGTTACATTTTTATCTCTTTTATAGTATGCAAGGGTTGTTCACCACATACGACACGTTGTAATTGTAGCTAAACGATTAGATTTTTACAAATTGTAAGTTTTGGGTTTGTTGAAGGACTATTACTGCTACAATTTAAAAATATTTTTACAAGATACAAAGTGTCACAAATAAATAAAAAATATCAAAGTTGTATTTTTTTAAATGGAACACCCTGTATATTATTACATTTTTAGTTTCTACGATTAAAATAAAGGTAAATTTGATTAAGGTTTATCATACTTAAACCTTACCATTTTTGAAATATTTTCAATTTTGTGAAATTGCAGTAAAAAATTTAAGGCTTCATTTCTCCAAGGGTATTAAAGTTTTTAATACTAAATATTTATCAAAGTCTATTTATTGATCAGTTATTGTGTTGCAATAATAAAAATAATACTACCTGATACAGAGTGTTTAAAAATTTATTTTAAATAATTTCTAGCTTTAAACGGCAATAACTTGTTTAATTTAAATGGAACGTCCTGTATATTTTAGGAGAATCAGATGCACAATTTAATTGTCTATCAAATTGTGTAATACCTCTTTTTACCTATCCCTTCAAGTTTTCGTAGAAAATGCATTTTCTTATAATTTAGACCTCATTTATCAATATACCCATAGAATATTGATATTTTAGACTGTTTTAAAGCAACAAATGTACAAAATGTACAGGCTAGTAATTTATTTATTGATCAGTTATTGTATTGCAATAATAAAAATAATACTACCTCATACAGTGTCTAAAAATTTATTTTTCTAGCTTTAAACGGCAATAACTTGTTTAATTTAAATGGAACATCCTGTATAAAATCAGATTACAATTTAATTGTCTATCAAATTGTATTATACCATTTGTTACCTATCCCTTCTATTTTTCTTAGAAAATGAACTTTCTTATAATTTAGACCTCATTTATCAGTATACCCATGGAATATTGACATTTTAGATTGTTTTTAAAGCAACAAATGTGAAAAATGTACAGGTGCTAAAAACGATAATATCCCATTTGTATACAAAAAAACTATTTAAATCTTTATAAAAGAAAATACCATTAATTAAATATACCACCATTATTTCCGCCCAAATAATAATGAATTACATACTTAATTGTGTTCGTTAATAAGTTATTCTAAATAAATGTGGATTTGAATCAGAAACCAATATAATAATAAGTTATGAAAATGAACGTCTTTGTTGTTATAAATAAGCATTTTGTCAAATTATGAAATATAATTTTTAAGGTGTTACTTTTTACCACACTGTCTAATACACATACAAAATTCAATTTTTTAGTATTTGGAGCAATTATTACTAATCAACGCAAAGAGTCAATTAATATAGTTTGAATATTGGAATCATATTAATTGGTCCTCTTTAACAAATATTTAAACAGTTTTTTTCCTTTTTAATGAAATAAACGAACTGTATGGACAATATTAGTATCTGTACTCTTTAAAAATTTGGTATATTATGTATATTAGTATTAAAAATAATCTAAAATGTCAGTATTCCATGGATATATTGATAAAGGAGTTGTAAATTACAAGAAAATGCAATTTCCACGGAAACTTGAAGAGATAAGTAAAAAATGGTATAATACAATTTGATAGACAATTAAATTGTGCATCTGATGCTCATAAAATATACAGAGGGTTCCATTTAAATTAAACAAGTTATTGCCGTTTAAAGCTAGTAATTATTTAAAATAAATTATTAGATACTCTGTATAAGGTAGTATAATTTTTATTATTGCAACACAATAACTGATCAATAAATAAACTTCAGTATATATTTAGTATTAAAAACTTTGATACCCTTGGAGAAATGAAGCCTTAAATTTTTTACTGCAATTTCACAAAATTGAAAATATTTCAAAAATGGTAAGGTTTAAGTATGATAAACCTTAATCAAATTCACCTTTATTTTAATCGTAGAATCTAAAAATGTAATAATATACAGGGTGTTACATTTAAAAAAATACAACTTTGATATTTTTATTTACTTGGGACTCTGTATTTTGTAAAAATATTTTTAAATTGTAGCTCTAATAGTCCTTCAACGAATCCAAAACTTACAATTTCTAAAAATCTAATCGTTTAGCTACAATACTCCGTGTCGTATTTGGTGAATAACCCTGTATAACTATGACTTACCACTTTTCCCCAGTTAAAAGGAAACAAGTATACAGTGTGCGAAATATCAAGAAACAGCAATAGGCACGTGACAAATAGGCTTAACAGAGTGACGAACATCATGAATCGGATTCGTCCCACCAGAGGGAGCATGAACAGTCCCACTTTGACAGTTCCGGACGTACACAGGCATGCCAGACATGCTATAGTTGTTGCCTGAAAATTAAGAGATAACAATCTAGAATTTTTAATCACCATATTTTGTCTAATTAAAATTTTAAGCTATTTAAACCCACGGTAGGTACTCTAATATGAACAATATAATAAAAGCAACATAACGTTCATATATATATACAGGTGTGCAGGTACATAGGATACACATTTTTGTTCATTTTATTTTTGACTTGCTGTCAAAAATACAATATAAAGTTTATTATACTATAGATCTATTTTTCAATATACCTTTTGCAATGACATTTGATGTAATTACTACAGATAGATACTTTGTATATGTCCTAATTTTATATCCAACAAGTGTGTACTTCTAACCTATATTCTACCTGTCTTCGCTGTTCTCAAATATTTGTTCTGTTCATTATGACAAATGCAGGGTAAATATCATTATGTGAGTGGTCAGAACGAAAATAGATTATCTGATTTTTTAAGGCCAACATGGCGATCGATAACAGATTATCTTTCATATTTACTTTATATACAAAGAAGAACCATTTTATTTTTGATTATAGGAAAATATGTTTTGTAATAAATAATATGGAGAAAGAACCGGAGTTGTTGTCTGTCTTTTTAATGCAACAGTAGATGGCAACAATTTTTGTTTTCCGTTTGTAGCAATTCTTTACTCTCATAAATAAGTGATTATCATATATTTATGTGTTATATTGAATGTACAAGGTGTACAAGATTTGATTGTATTTAGAGGGCTGGATTTTATATTATATGCTACTAATGTATATTTTAGTGATAAAATTCAGAATTAAAGGTTTTACCGACTACCAGGTCTATACCCTACACCTTCTGCAAACTACTGTTACTTCTACAAATTTCTTTGTTATACCAATTGGGTATTTACTAGTGATGGGAATAATCGAATTATTTTCACCATCGAATAATTAGTAATAATTCATATTTCACAATCGAATTAATAATTCGAATTATTTAGTAGTATTATAAATTTAACCTAAAAATAAATTCGTCCCAGCTAGTGCTCGTCTAGGGGCTATTTTAAACAAATCTGAACCATTGCCATACCTATATTCTATCACTGAATAAAAAATTAAAAAAAATATTCTTTATTCAATGTATTCTATTAACTGTGCCGAAGCCGTTTAATAAATTAAACCATAATTTAAAGTTTTAAATTTAAAAGTGCCGAGTTTATGATTGTTTCAATTCCTATTGAAAAGCTCATATCTTAAATAAAAAGCTTCTTCTAAAACGATATAAGTATGTCCTTGTTTACGTGCGGTTCGTATTTCTTTTTATTTTATCAGTTGCAATCAATAATTATTTAGATAAAAGAAGAAAATTAATTTTAGTGTTCGGTGAAATTTGGGTGAGATGGAAATGAACCAAATAATAGTAGTATTCTTTCGTTCTGAACGAAATGAAAATTTTCACTTAAACTGATTTATTCCTACGTGGTATAGGAAATAACAATGATTTCTGGATTTTCCTATATCGGATCGTTCCTTTCTTTGCCGATTCCCTTTATAAATCAGTTTAAGTGAAAATTTTCAGTTCGTTCAGAACGAAAGAATACTACTAATAGTACTATACTAATTACTAATATTCGTATTTGTCCATAAGACTTTATGTTTTATGTTCATTTGTAATTCGGTTACCACAGATATAATATAAAATACTACTAATTTTTATCTCGATATATCGAAAAAGATAATTCGAATTAGTTAGTTTTAATTTACTATCGAATTAGTCGTATTATTTAATTCGAATTTTCCCAACACTAGTATTTACCCACCGCCCATCACTAGTTGCAGTAATCTCTATTCCAATATATCAATAATTTTTGTTTTCTGTGAGAATTCCTTACTTTATATAAATAAGTGGTCATCATATATTTATGTATTATGATAAGGCTTGTACAATGAGGATACACGACTCTGTTGCCTTTAGGGCGCTACTATCTTATTAATTTATATTGGTTGAACCAGCAATTTTTTTTTATCTGTAGCAATGTTAAAATAAGAGGAATTTTAATTTACAAAATTGAACATAAAAAACTGCCAACATATAAGCGATATCAATTAAACTTTTAGTTACATAATCGAGGGCGCGATTATTAAATTCATTGTTGCCAACCATGGAAATATTCGGCGCCGGGTCGACTAACTGGAATTTAAATTTCCTGCTGGAGATTCAGGTCGTAGCTCTACTGTAAAAAATGCCTACTTGCCACATTTATTTATTTGACCTGACATTGTCATTTCGTTTTGACACTTTAGTTTTGTATTACGAGTTTTTGGTTTAAATAAATTGCCTTGTGATACTTTAAACTTATAAATTTTACTACTAGCAGACCTTGCAGTTGAACATTGTTCTTTTTGGAACCTCTTTTTGTGCAAATTGTACTTAATGTAGTTAGCTTAATAGGTTCTGCAAAAAACTCATTGCAACCTTTAAAATAGCCCTTTATGTTCCTTAAGCGCTTAAGGAGGTCAGTTTTGTCGATATAAATAATAACTTATTATACAGGGTGTTTCAAAACAAATGCGAAAAACTTTAGGGGGTGATTCCTTGTTCAAAATAAAGGGTAGTTTGTTTTATAAACGTTGGGTCAAAAGTCAACCATTACGGAGATATCGCGGTACAAAGATGGCGGAAAAATAATGTTTTTATTTTTTATCTTGAAAACGAAAAGAGATAGACTAATGAAATTTTATGGAAGCATTACTGTTATGAAAACACACTTTCAGGTAATTTTTATACTTTTTTAAAATAAGTGGAAGGGGTTGAAATAAACTACCCCTATCATTCTTGTTAACGAAATTTAAAGAAAAATCTTATCAAACACATGCAAATGCTTTAATTTGGATAGTTTGGTTTGTTTAGAAACTTTTTTACCCCTTGTGTTTTTTTGATAAAACTCACCGATTGGAAATTAAAAAATAAAATGTAAAGCATTACATGTCAGGACAAAAAACATTTTTAGATTCAGAATCTGGTGATAATAACGATAATAATAATCATCTAGATAATAACGTATTGCAGTAGAGTAATGTCAAATAAAATAATATTAGGAACATCCTAAAAAGTAACAGCGGCCGACTAGATTTTTCCTAAAAAATTACAGCAGCCCACTAGATTCTTTATCAGAAAAATTTTTGTCCTGACATGTAATGCTTTACATTTTATTTTTTAATTTCAAATCGGTGAGTTTTATCAAAAAATACAAGAGATAAAAAGTTTCTAAACAAACTAAACTATCCAAATTAATTTTTTTGTGTGTTTGATAAAATTTTTCTTTAAATTTCGTTAACAAGAATGATAGGGGTAGTTTATTTCAACCCCTTCCACTCATTTTAAAAAGTGAAAAAATTACCAGAAAGTGTGTTTTCATAACAGTAATGCTTCCATAAAATTTTATTAGTCTATCTCTTTTCGTTTTCAAGATAAAAAATAAAAACATTATTTTTCCGCCATCTTTGTACCGCAATATCTCCCTAATGGTTGACTTTTGACCCAACGTTTATGAAGCAAACTACCCTTTATTTTGAACAAGGAATCACCCCCTGAAGTTTTTCGCATTTCTTTTTAAACACCCTGTATAAAGTAAAAATAATTTTTGTTTCCTAAAATATTTTAATTAAAAGAAAATATGTAAAAGTGGGCAACGCTGTGCCGGTCAAGCTTAATCACATGACTAAAGGTTTAATTGATATGAACTATATGTATATATTCTAGTAAGAAGAGCAACCATTTTGATCATATTGCGTGTCATAAAGTCACCATAAAAATGTCACTATTCTGCACCGCAGATTAAATTAACTTAACTCCATTAGTCGTTTTGACGTCATTTTCAAGATATACGGCTATATGTACAGTGCCTTGCCTAATGATACAGGAAAGTTCAGAAATTCAGTATTTTTAAGAGAGATTTTTTTATGCCGAATGCTTATTTTGCTACTTTTTCGGACTAGTGAAATGGACTCTTAAAATAAACCATCTTACCAACAAGAGCAGCCTCAGGAATCCCGTCGTCGTCTTCAAGTGCGCGTAGTCGCAGTACACGATCACCCCCGAGTACAGGGACAGGTCAGGCGACGCGGCTCTCCGCCTGTAGTGCGAGTGGGAATCCCAGGAGTTCACTGTGCCCAGCGGTGAGTCGAGGCACTCCTCGCAACCCTCCCCCGCCGTACACTCGGCGCTCAGCGCCCCCGTGCGGCTGCCGGCTATCTCAAAGTCCTGCAACACATAGAGCATGCCAGCCCTACTGGACGAAGCCTGAAAAACATGGAGGGCGAAGGCGTGCGTGTACAAAGCGTGTCGATGAGTGAGAAAGATATAGTGTGAGTGTGCATAGGGATGGCAAAGATATATCGATATATTCTTAGGATTTTTAAAATACCGTAAACTGGGGGGTCTTTGTGACTGCAGCATAACTTAGGTACATTCCTCATATTTCCACATAAAATCTTCTTCTTATCTCTAACTAAAATACAACCAAATAACCCAATCTGGCCATTCTGTATTATACACTGCATGTTTATTAACACTTCAAAAAGTCAACTACAAATACTTAGGTGCAGTGTATTTTACGAATTCTGTATACTTTCTACGCTACAAACAAAACTAAAGATCTATGAAAAACTAGTTAGTATTTCATAAAACACTGTTATTTCCCTCCTATTTGACGTAAAAACCGTTTTTTTAAATGACACTGGGAGAAAAATATGTTTGCTTCTAGACAAAATTTTATCTTTGCGGGTCAATTTTGCCCTACGAATTGTATAGTATGTATCCTAGCCTGAATATCAATTTGTACTAAATAAGTTGGATACGGTAATAGAAATATTCTTTTTAAAGCAGTTCTTTAGTCTATTTTATGTGTGAATTTTACTTATAAGGCTAGTGCTATATTTATATATCCTTGGGCTAGTGCTAAGCAAAGGTACATCAAATGTCAGTAACAGGATGTTTTTTAAAATATCGGCGTTTATCCAGATCACGGAATTACAAGCGATTAAAAGAGGAAACAAGGGATATTTTTATGGAGTTATTGGAACCCCAAAATTAGGGTGCACACACATTGACCTTTTTATTTAAGGATAATACATTTTTTTTTGTACCTATCTAAGAAAAATATTGTTTTATATTTATGATGGATATTTAATCGTTAGAATCTGTGAAACTATATCTATTTGCTGTCTATATTTGTTAGTTCTTTAATAAAAAAATATTGTCATCTTCTTATTCAGTTTTTTAAAAGAAACATACATCTACTGCCCTAATATTACGAAAATATATTTTCTCAAACTATTTTTTAGCTTTATTTATATATAGCTGTGTGTCCATTGGTACAAAATGCTTCTTTACGGCTATTATGGTGCGTTTAGACTTGAGCACGCACGAGCTGAGCGTGCGCGCACGGCATTCGTTCGCGCTCTCGGCTCCGTTCAAATTAAAAACTTATTTTTCGACGAATGAAGTGATCCATTTGTGCGCGCACAGCAGAGTTGTGCTGGCGAAAATAATGGACGACCAAGAAATAGTCGTCGAGGCTGCAGTCACACTATGCACAGCTTAATTATTAAAAAGAAGAAAAATCGAAAACATCGTCGCTGGTGGCAAACCCAAATTTTTATAAATCGATATAATTTACTGCAACAACTTAGTGTCTGAGGAGGGCTATGATCAGTTCAAAAACTTTACAAGAATGACCAGGCCCGACTTTGAATATTTACAAAATTTAATAACACCAAAAATTACGAACAAAAGATACAAATTTTAGAATAGCAATTTCATTAATATCGACATATTCGATATTAATTTTATTTACAAGGTTTTGCCATGCGTTATATTTTTTTTGATCTTTTAATAATACAAAGAATGTTTAACATCCCATAATATAGGCAACTTTTCATATTTTTCAATTAATAATAACGAAGATTCATATAGATCCACTCCATAATTTTAATAAAGAAAACGAAAAAAAAATCACACACGCACGCACGAACGCAGACCAAACAAATTGCCGGTGCAAATTGAGCGTTCGCGTACACATAAAATCCCTTTGAGCACGGACCAAAAACCCACACCAGACGGTTCACGTTCACGGCTGCTCGTGCACAGACAGATTCAGAGTGAGCGTGCGCGCACAGCCGTTTACACTTGAGCATTCGCGGAGGATCAGTGCGTGCGTGCTCAAGTCTAAACGCACCATTATACGTGTAAAATTTATCTGCCCTAAAGTTACCCCGACAGACGGGCAACTACTTTAGGACAGCTTTAAAGTGCAATAACTAAAGTACTGCTTAGAATTTTGATTTCATATTTTGGCTAATTTTTGTGTTATAATAAAGAGGTTAAATTAGATTGCTTAGGTTTAAATATTTCATATAACAAGGACTATATCAACGAAAAACACTAAAAATCGTACAAAAACTACCCAGTATTACGGTATGAATATTTTTACAAACCAACCCATACTAGGCTTGAGTATATCTGCGTACTATGCTCAAATAAACTGTAGGTCCTGTGTACTTAAATTTTGCCATCCCTAAGTGTACATATAATGCAAATGGTGTCTCAGAGAAATAAGTATAAACCTTGAGGATTTTTAATATCCTTGTTGGTCACGTTTTTGTTTACATCGTGTAACGTTACTTTCACATTTTACAGGAACATTATAGCTCCATCAATTTAAAAAAAAAACATAGCAGAAATTTAACTTGTAGTAATTGTTTATGACCATACTTACAAAAAACTTATAAATACCCTATATTGGCATCAGAGAGTATTGGGTCAGTATTTTACACACATTTTAATTAGTCTTTTTTATTTATAAAATATTATTACTAGACAAAGCAAAGGATAAAACTAGAAAATGTTGAATATACATATTGTGTATGCAAAATTTTTACAAATCTAGGTAAGGTTTTTAGGTTCTCCTTCATAGTCTGATGCTATCTTTCATCTCAATAAAATACACAGGTGTGTGCAATTGTTTACAAACCTATGGTTATTTATATATGTTAGGGCTGATTTATGTTTACTTATTTCTCTGAGGATTGTGTTTAATGGTAAAAAGAAATATAATAAACTGAACCAGTAGAAAACTGTAGTTGCTAGCTAATGAATGATTTTGCATGCTGTATACAAGACAAGAAATTAAAATAATTGCAATATTCCGGAAATATTATCGCAAATAAAATAAAACACTGATGAAAATGTCTGTTTTATCTGCCTTTTTAAGCCATTAGATTCAGACTTCACAGAGATATTTCTTAGTGCCTATTTTTTCATACATGTACAACTATATATATTATCTCTGTACAACACTGCAGTTAGTTTCACAGTAGTCACTACAGTGCTAAATCTGTTCAATTACAAAAAAAATATCCATCAAGAAATTTATCTGCGTGGATTATAAATCAAGTGAATCTTTATAAAAAAAACCGATACATATTTTGATTCATTATAATTGTAATGTTTCTAGGTAACTTATAACAGTTATGAATATCTGTGCCACAATTGCATATACAAACATTACTTATTTAGAATGGTTATTATTGCAGGGACTATCGATTTGAATATATTTTAACATGCAGCTAATTGTTTGGAACAATAATTACATGCATTCTATATGCGAAACAGAATGAAAATAACGAAAGGGTAGAATTAAAAATTAATTTAACTGGCAACTCAAAAAAAGACTTGTATTTTCTTTTTTTCAAAGTTTTTTTTACAAATTCCACACCTTAACTTTGACAGTTTGAGTTAGATTTACTTGAAAGTAATGTTAATTGATAGCTTTTTAATATAAAATACCGTATGATTGAATAAAGGATCGAATAAAAATGGCGTCAACGATGGCTATGAAATGCAGATCGCGGTCATTTTATATGTAAAATTATATGGGAAATGTGTCATCGACAGTCATTTCGTCATCGCTGACGTTTTTATTCGATCATACGGTATATATTTTTACTTTACGTCATAGTAGCAATAGTTATACAACATTGCAGAAGAATACTTCTTGAAATGCCAAATAAATAAGCGTCCTAAATCTGACTGGAAAGGTATAAGATTTGTGTTTTTTATAACTATAACCACTATAGGGACACTACTATACTGAATTCATTTAAAAATAATACTTATAGAAAAATATATTATTTTTATCCAGATGTTCCACACAGCGTTCTTCTTCTATATAATATTCATACCCTTCGTACCTTATAGCGAAAAATAGTTATTGGTAATATTTAAACAAATAGTAGGAATAATTCAAGTATTCATAATATAAAAATGTTATATTTTCTTGGGTTGAGGTTTGTTAATAAATAATAAATTTAGTTTTTTTTTATTAACGAACCTCAACCCAAGAAAATATGACATTTTTATAGTTAAGGAATGGTTCAAGAAAACTTACGCAAATAATATAAAAGATGTATGCATATTAACTTAGTGATGGGGATATCCCTATATAGGTATCTTCTTAAAGTACATTGGCTACCTAATTGCTGGAAATATATTTTTTGTTTTGTAATAGACTGTATGAAATCAGTTAGGTTTATTGTTTGCTCACATTAGTATTGCAAAAAATCTTTGTAAATATAAAAAAAACCTATCAACTGCAACTATACAGATACAATTGCAAGCAATAACATTGATTTTATTGTAACATTGATCTTGTGTTTAGATTGTCTCAGTTAAATTATTTTTTTATCTAGTAAAAATCACTAAAAATAAATCAAATACCTTTTCTAAATCACTTTTTGAAAATTTGTGATCTGTTATAGATTATTAATGTATTTATAGAAAATAAATCTTTACACACTGTATATAAGTATAGAAAATATAAAATAAGAAACACAACATTAAGCACTAAACTAAAAATAAAATAAAACTAAATCATATCAAATAAAACTGATTTATTTAACTGAAATAAATAAAATAAACATCAACTACATCCATGCAAAATATAGAAAGCCAAAATAAGTTTCTTTGTCCTTTTTTAGTCTACCTGAATTTCTTCAGGTTTAAAATTTGTCGGCTCCAGGTCTCTGATGTCTTCGAGCAGAAATTCGATTTCGTCTGGACTGTAGAGAAGATCTGATACCGAATTAATGTAGCGGCCTGGCTCAGACTGCATGTCACTCCAACATTAAACCTGAGGCTTTGCCCCTCTCCAGTCCATTTCTTCCTTCCTTAACAAACAAAATATGTTCAGAAAATAGCTGCTATTATCAACAAAAGAATATTAGGGGAGTCTATAAGTTTTTACTAACCTGAAAACCCTTCAAAACAATACACATCCCAATTGTAATCCAGCTTCAGTTTATACCTGAAAAAGATGGTAATTTTTTAAACTAAAGAGGAATTACGCTAGTTACTAAATTAATAACATGCCACAATATACTCTACTAATATATTTTATGCAGCTACCCTTCAAGATTTTCTTGACCTAAAAAACTACTTATACAATTTTTAATTACTACCGAAAAAATGTATTATATATCCACGTTTCACGACACACATTTAGCTTTAGTTTCGAAAAGAAACTATCCCTATTCACTTAGAAATTTAACTTTTTGAGAAATTGTTCAAAATTATGCTGAAAATAGGCGGACGCCACAAATTTACTGCCATGTTTTTATTGGAATACTGCTAAAGACATTTCAATTGGAGTACATATGGAGGGTTTCCTTTAATATATGACGTCATTGACTTTTGCACCATTCATTAAATAGAGCAGTTTTATTCTTGTTTTCTTGCAGCTGTGTAGTGTACAACAATTGTTTACTGAATCTAATAATTTAGGCATAATCTGTTCTTTTACAGACGAGTATTTTTAAGTTATAAAAATATCCTGCTGCATCCTGCTGTTTTTCGTTAGAAAGAGGTGTTTGGTTCCTTTGTTTGAACTAGCTTTGAACGTCATATGACGACAATGACTTTGACATTGACACTGACAAAATAGGTTAAGTACATCAAAATAATAATATAGTTTGTGAATTTTATAGATTATTTAATAATTATTTTATTATAATGTCGGACAAAGATTATGCACCTCTTAGTGCGGCCTGTGTTAAAGCTTTGAACGATAAAATATACGACAAGAGGAAAGCTGCAGCTTTAGAAATAGAAAAGTAGGTTTAAGTTAATCGCTTGATCATCTCCTAAAATTCATATTATTTCTAGAATGGTAAAAGATTTCGCTGCTTCAAATAATACCGGGCAGATTAAACGTCTTTTAAAGGTACTGGGACAAGATTTTGCAATGTCCCCAAATCCTCACTCGAAAAAAGGTGGACTTATAGGTTTGGCTGCGATTGCTATAGCTTTGGGAAAGGTGACTTTAACAATTTGATGATTTTTCATACAATTTATGTATTTTAAATTAATCAGGATACCGGAGGATATACTGATGGGTTAATTAAGCCTATTTTGGGTTGTCTAGCTGACCAAGACTTGCGTGTCCGTTATTATGCTTGTGAATCATTGTATAATGTTGTTAAGGTATCAAGAGGCGATGTCCTTCCCCATTTTACATCGATATTTAGTTCTTTAAGTCAGATTTCCACAGACTCTGACCAGAATATTAAAAATGCCTCTGAATTATTGGACAGGCTGTTAAAGGTAACATAATTTTTATTCTTTTGATTTTACACATTTCAAAGTACTCCTATGTTTTAGGACATTGTAGCAGAAAGTAATCTATTTGACTTAGATGGGTTCATTCCGCTTTTACGTGAAAGAATATACACCAGAAATCCGTTCACTCGCCATTTCGTTATATCCTGGATATCAGTATTAAATAGTGAACCTAGTCTTGATCTAATTAGTTACTTACCCGAAATATTAGATGGTTTATTTAAAATATTGGAGGACACGAATATAGAAATTAAGAAAATGTGTGAAACAACCCTGGGAGAGTTTCTAAGAAGTATTAAAAGTGATCCTTCCAGAGTTAATTTTGGAGCTATGATCAATATTTTGATCCATCATGCACAGGAAAAGAACGATGAATTAGTTCAAGTGAGTATATCATTTAGGGTGGGTTAAGAAAATTAACTATATATAACTGTTTAAAAGATATTCATCGTCAAACTTAAGTGCACAATAACTTTAATAGTTTTTGATTAGTAATTCGAACAATTCCCATTCAATTATACCTTAGTTGATAATAGTTAAATAAAAAAATACTTTTTTATAATTTTTTTTAATAAAAATATTTTTTTTTCTTCTAGATCAATACTTTTTATATAAAATTTGTCACAAAAACGTTATTTACTCGAAATTTAATGAATCATTGACTCTAAGTTAAGCCGCGTCCAAGCTACTCGAACAAAATGGTCGCGAACATATAAAATTAAACAGATACTAAATGAAAATTGTGAGATAGGTAGATTTATAAATAATAAAGCCAACAAGTACAGCTAGCCTAGGCCTATTAAGGAGCGCGGAGCGTCGAACGGCTAGCTTGTACGCCAGAGCGTGCGTCTGCCTATGCTAGAGCGCGCGCGTTCTTTTTCCGACGGGTGTCGGTAAATCAAAAGGAGCGAACGGCGTGCATTTCGGCGGACATTGTAGCGGACACTTGCAAGGGTCTCATTTAATTGCGGGCGTCCATCTGTGATTTTTATTTTTTACCGAGTATTCGACAATGGGAGACGCAGTTATTGAATAGGACTAGGGATCGTGAAAAACATTTACAATTAATTTGTTTACACAAAGAAAAGATTTTATAATTTTAATTTTATTGTGGGTTGAGTGTGAATAGCTAGACTTCGTCCATATAATTTCATTTTTGTTAATAAAGACCTTTATGATTATTTTTATTAAAAACCGGAATTATTATGGGATTCTGAAATTAAAAATTACTACTTAATAGGAAGTTTGACACCGGAAATGAAATTTTACCATTACATTTTTAGAAATAAATATATCGGGTGTTTCTGAAAAGTGGTTCACTTCTATAACTTTTTTATTTTTTTTAGATAAAAAACGAGATTTGGTATGTTAGTATAGGACATAAATCAGGATTGATCGACGTTTTCATTTATTTTCGGTCACTACCTATTTCACCGGAAATGACAACAACTTTTGATTTAAATGGTACCCTCGGTATTTTTTACCGTATATGATAGAAAATGACATTCTAAATAGAATGATATATTATATGTCAACTTTTGACATTTTCAATTAAAAATTGGCCATAAATAATAAACGTAACGACAATTTTACTCCAAATACCAAGTATGTGGTACCAAATTATTCGTAAAAAATGCTTTTTCCAAATATGCTGAGCCAGCCTTGTACCATTTGAAAAATTGGAGTTATCATTAAAAATACGATTTGGGCATCTTTTAAGCGGCCATGAAAGGATACGAAAAAAAATTACATGTTCAAATATATGTTTCCAAAGTTCTTTGATTACAAATTAATAGTTTTAACTCTTGGCACTCTAGATTGAAATTTAAAATGCTGTTTTTATTTAATTGGAAATGTCTAAAATTGACGTATGGCCTGTCATTCTATTCAGAATGTCATTTTCTATCAAATAAAGTAAAAAAGTACTTAGGAACACAATCTAAAAATCCAAAGTTGTAGTCATTTCCGGTGAAACAGGAAGCGACCGAAGGTAATTGAATACGTCAATCAATCCCGATTTATGTCATATACTAACAAACCAAATTTCGTTGTATTATCTGAAAAAATAAAAAAGTAAAAAAGGTGAGCCCCTTTTGAGAAACACCTGGTAGAATCGGCTGAAAATGAATACAGGTCTTAAAAATACACTATAACGAATAATCTACCAAAAGACCCCTGTAACCCCCCGCCTGCTAAATATTGATTCTTCAACGACAAAAGTTCTTAAACTGTTTACCGGTTAATTTATTTAATAAAATGCGCTAAGCGCATCCTAGATCTACAGAGCAAACTGGTTGTCGCATTCTTCCCCGCACCTCTGTCCGCGGGACCGATGCGATGGGCTGTACCGTCGTTTACGACCTGCTGCTATGTATATAGCGATAATTATAAAAGTTCGCGAACGTTTTGTTCGCTTAGCTTGGACGCGGCTTTACAAATATATGAGATATTTTTTCCAAATAGTAAATAGCGAGGTATGAATTTTTCTTTCTAATAAGAAGGAAAAAATAAAAAACTGAAAGGCGGAGTATCTTCCTATTAAAATTAAGAGCTCATACTTGGAGAGAACTTTTTTGAGGTGTTTACTAACCTTTTTTCAGAGTAAAAAGTGAAAAAAAATAGTCGATTTTTTTTGCCCATCCTAATATCACCGTGTTATTATAGTATAGCGTTTTAATGGTTTGAATTTTTAGTTTACGGCTATTACATGGATAAAAGAATTTGTACAGTTGTCTGGACCTGCCATGCTGCCTTACATGTCTGGAATATTCACGGCAATCCTGCCTTGCTTGGCTTATGAAGCGGAAGCTCGGAGAAGTATCCTTCGTTTTCTTTTTTATATGTTTGTTATGTATTTTTTTAACTTTCTGGTGATTTTTTTCTAATAAAATGGTATATAGGTAGTATATAAAAGTATGTTTGTGGTGGTATTGCATGATAACAAATTCTTATACATTTAATGTAGATTTTTCTTGGTTTAAGTTTACTATCATAATAACAAAATACTTATATGTTTCTGTCTGTTATATATTTACTTTAGATAAGAATTCTGAAAAATTGAAAATATGATAAGAATATCTTTTTTTGGTAACTCACAGAACTTACTATTACTATTACAATTTATCAATAATCTTCTTCATAGTTTATTGTATGATTGATATGAATTATACAAGATTTTCTAAAAGTAAGATATTTAAACTTGGGGGTCTTCTATTTTGTTTTTTGGTTTTACTGTATACTTAATTGTATTTCTCCTTAATTTAGCCACAGATATTAAAGAGACAGCCACTGCGGTGAATTTTACCTTAATGAAGCTTATTGCTTTGCAAGATGAGAACGAACCATCAGGTACCAATGAGGAGGTTAGGCAAAGTGGTAAGTTAACTTTAATTACTTATTTATTGTTAATTTTTAATTGAGAGTTTAAATTAAAAGTGAACATGTATGAGTAAAAAAAAATCTACTTAGTTGCTCAGAAACTGAAAATATCATTGAAGAAGGTCTGTGAATCCCAGTAAACTATAAATTAATTATCCAACAATTTTGTATATTTCATATACAGAGTAAAAGTATTTAAACGCAGAGTTCATGTGTAAAGTTTCATATATAGAGGTCAGAGTTATAAAAATAAATTTTCAAGCACAGCAGGGCTGTAAAAAGGCTTTAAACTGTGTTTAAAACAAAATTATATTAATTTAATTTATATACAGGGTGGTCCGAACTGTATTCCGGAAACTTCGGCAGTATATTCTGCAGATAAAAATAAATAAAAAGGTTTGTATAAATGTATCTTTTAAAATACTTTTTTTCGGTGATACAGGGTGTAGAAGTTTCATTTTTATTTCGATTTTTCCCAAATCATTTCTAAAGTAACGTCAATATTTAGTTGAAAATTGGTGGGAAGTTTTTTGACATGAGAAATTTGATTTTGATGTCAATATGACTCGTATTTGCAGGGGGAGCCACCTACATATGTTTTAACTTTTTTTAAGAGTAATAACTTTTCGACCGTACCTGTATAAAGCTACTGGGTGAAAAAATATACATTTCCGTGATTTTTTACGTAGAAAATATCTCTTAGTAAAAATCGCTACGAGTAATGGTTCTCGAGATATTTAGATGGAAACAGTCAATACGTCATTATTGACAAAAAATAAACATGTTGAGTAGATAGTTATTTGACTGAAATAGTAAATTCGGAAACTTTTTATTTTTTTAAATTATTCATACATTTTTCTTTGAAAAAATAGTGATAAAAAGTTTCTGTTGGACTTTTTACACAAAAACATTTCAAATTTATGATTTCAGTTTAATAACTATTTAGTCACAGGGCCTATTTTTCATCTAGTCGGGCCCTAAGGCCCAAGCAAAAATTCGGGGCCTCTTTTTCAATAAAATTCAAAAATTCTCTTGTTAGTTTGGGTTAAAAAAATAAAACAATTATTTTTATTTTTTTAATAATTTAAAAAAAAATAATTAACATTATTATATTCAACAAAATAAATAATGAAAAAAAACAATTAATTCTAATTTTAAAAAATAAACAATTTTTTTTAACAATAACAAATTTACATTTGAAATTATGAATATTTCACAACCTTTAACGGGCCCCACAGACCACCGGGCCCAAGGCCCGGGCCTTATCGGCCTTATGGTAAAATAGGCCCTGTTTAGTCAACATGTTTAATTTATGTCAATGATGACAGGTATTGATAATTTCGATTCCAAATATCTCGAGAACCATTACTCCTAGCGGTTTTTACCAAGAGATCTTTTTTCCTTAAAAACCATGTAAATGTATACTTTTTCACCCAGTAGTTTTATACAGGTACGGACGAAAAGTTATTACTCTTCAAACAAGTTAAAAAATATGTAGGTGGCGCCCTCTACTAGTAGGAGTCATATTGACATCAAAATCAAATTTGTCATGTGAAAAGGCTCCTAGACACCAATTTTCATCCAAATATTGACGTTACTGTAGAAATTATTTGGAAAAAATGAAAATAAAAACGAAACTTCTACACCCTGTATCTCCGAAATTAAGCGTTTTAGGACATAATTTATACGAACTTTTTTACTTAACTTTTCCGGACTACAGTTCGGACCACCCTGTATATTAATTTAACGTCAGTCACAACAATCTACTTGATGTTTTAAGATTTTCTTATTAAGTATGACTAAAAATAGTTTCGTTTACTACAAATGTCTAACAAATTCACCTATTTCCACATTGTTATTCAATTTGTGGTTTGATTAATCCTTATATTAATTTTTTATAGCATGTTGTTGTATAATTTTATTGATTTTATTTTGTATTGAACGTTAACAATATAAATCAGTAAATAAGTTTAAATGTAGTATAACACTTGATTTATAAATTGTATATTTTTAGACTTCGATCAAAGTATGGGTCATGATATAGATCTTCACTCCGTTGTGGACGTTTTAACACAATACCTTGCACACAACTCAATTCAAACCAAAGTAGCCGTATTAAAATGGATATATGATTTATATACGAAATTACCAAGCAAGGTAACGGTTTACTAACCATCGGTGTTTGTAAAAAACATATTTACATAAAACTATTTATATTTATACAGATGGTAGATTATATAGACGTACTGTTCCCAGCTTTACAAAGAACACTATCTGATGAAGCGGACCAAGTCGTTCAGCAGTGTTTGGTAGTGATAGCTGAAGTGATCTCTTCACCAAAGTCGACAAACTTAAGTGCCAAAAGTAATATTTTTTAAGGTTGATTCTTTTTTGGATATGCTAACAAGTAAATTTATTTTTAGAGAACAATACTTACTATAATAAATTTATTGTTAGTTTACTATCTTCATTTAGTACAGATAAACGCTTGTTAGATGAGCGGGGAGCTTTTATAATTCGGTAAGTGTATATAAAAATATTTCTTTCTACAGGGTGAGTCAGTGTTCTGAGAAAAAGTTCGATGATCAGGTTTTCTGTTTAGTTTTTTGATGACAATTTTTTTATCTGTAATAACGCCCTGTTTAAAAATATTTTCGTAGAAATACAGAGGGATTTAAGTACATTTTTACATGAAAATTGTGTTTTTATAAATGCAATGCTCTAGTATAATTTTAGGCCTAGTGGATTCTCAATAAAATTATTTTATTTATTTGATATCATTTTCTAGTTCTAGACATTTAAAGCAATCTCAAAATTATGAAGTTAATTAAAATTATGGGTTGAGCGATAACTCTGAGCGTCTGTGTAGGCCTTTATCCAGTATACAGGATGGTCCGAACTGTATTCCGGAAACTTTGGCAGCATATTCTGCAGATAAAAATAAATAAAAAACTTCATATAAATGTATGTCCTAAAATGCTTAGTTTCCGAGATACAGGGTGTAGAAGATTCATATTTATTTCGATTCTTTTCAAATAATTTATGAAGTAACGTTAATATTTGGATGAAAATTGGTGTGTGGGAGTTTTTTGACATGAGAAATTTAATTTTGATGTCAATATGACTCCTGTTTGAAGGGCGCGCCACCTACATGTGTTTTAACTGTTTTGAAGGGTAATAACTTTTCGTCCGTACCTGTATAAAACTACTAAGTGAAAAATATACATATCCGTGATTTTTTACGTAAAAAATGTTTCTTGGTAAAACTCTCTATGAGCAACCGTTCTCAAGATATTTACAATGGAAATAGTCAATACATGTCATTATTGACAAAAAATAAATATGTTGAGTAGATAGTTATTTGACTATAAAATTAATTAATTTAAATTAATTAATTTGGGAATTTTGAATTTTTTAAATTAATCATAAATTTTTCTTCAAAAAAATTAAGGAAAACAGATTTTTACGTAAAAAAACATTGTGAATGTATATTTTTTTACTCAGTGGTTTTATACAGGTACGGACAAAAAGTTATTACTCTTCAAACAAGTTAAAAAATATGTAGGTGGCGCCCTCTACATGTAGGAGTCATATTGACATCAAAATAAAATTTCTCATGTCAAAAAACTCCCAGACACTAATTTTCATCTAAATATTGACGTTAGTTCAGAGATTATTTGGAAAAAATCGAAATAAAAATAAAACTTCTACATCCTGTATCTCCGAAACTAAGCTTTTTTGACATCCATTTATACGAACTCTTTTACTTATTTTTATCTGCAGAATATGCTGCCAAAGTTTCCGGAATACAGTTCGGACCACCCTGTATTACTATTAGGGTTGTGGATTTGACCTGTCTGACCTTGTGTGTTGGTTTTTTCCTTGTTTTTTTTTCCGTCAATTGACCGGTCAATTGACCAAAATAATTTTAAAAGTACAATGAAACAAATAAAAACAAATTAATATTTTATTTCACATAATCATTTTGAAATAATTTATAAATAAAGAATATTTTCCTTTTAATATAAAAAACATAAAATTAAAAAATTAACAAAAATATGTTTCTATTTTAATTTAAAATAAACAGAGAACATTAAAAGTTATTTTAAAAATACTTTTATTCTAATTCAAAACAAACAATTAATTGACATAAGTAGACAGTGGTAAGTTCTCATTTTCATCTTCATAGTCGATGTCATGGATGTCGATGTCTGAAGACGAAGACATGTCAGCTTCAGAAGATGAACTTACATTGAGGTCAGTAACCCTTCCATTTTTGTTTAACATAAGTTTACCAGATCTTGTAGTGGTCAACCTGTTTCTTAATAATTTATTATGAACAATTCCCCAAGTTGACAAGTTTCGTTCACAAGAAGCTGAGGAGGCCGGCATTCTTAGTAATTTTGTTGCAACATTGTGAAGTACCGATTTATTCTGCCAATTGTCCCACCAAGTTGATGGTGTAATATCTAACGATGTTTTACATACTGATTTGATACTTTTTACGTCTGTCAATGTTATTCGATTATTGAATGCATTTGATGCTGTTCTAAAATTTGATATCTCTCTAAGTATTTCAATTTCAGATTCATTGATAACAAGTTGAACGATCAACGTAGTCGCGCGTTAGAGTTCTTCTGGGAATAGATTCTCTCCTTTTTATCTAGGATCGAGTCTTTTTCCGATATTTTTATTGATATTCTCCGAATCGCTAAGTATCGTATTCCTTGAAGACGGTTATAAGTAAATTGGACATTACAAACGCATAATAATTATATAATACCATATTATTATTAAATAATGATAGATAACATTCTACAATTGTAAGATGTTATTTAAGACATTTTGACCGAATTTGACTGGTCAAATAAGAAGTGGTCAATTGACCACTCAATGGACCAGCCCCAACACTAATTACTATTTATTAAAAATTTACATTTTTTAAAAGTAATATATATTAACATTATTATTTTGTTTAAGGCAATTATGTGTGTTACTTAATGCAGAAGATATTTACAAAACCCTGGCTGAAATACTTCTACACGAACCGAATTTAAAATTTTCAAGTCTGATGGTTGACCACTTAAATATGATATTACTGACATCGTCCGAACTATTGGACCTTAGAAATAGGTTAAAGGACCTCTCTGTTGAGGTAAATTATTACTAATCTTAGTATTTTTTCTACGAAGTTTTGTCATAGGATATTTAATACCCAGCTAGATATCTTGACATATTTTTTTTTAGTTTGTTCTTTTGTCTCCGATGAGAAAAGAGACGATTTCGATAGAAAACATCCAAAATTTGACAGAATAAACAATTCTCTTTCAATTAAAATGATAAATAATTGTCACTGTTAAAATCCAACCTTTGGCTGGATTATGGTGCATCTGTATATCATAGTAGTGATTAAACAAGCAAGCATATAAAAAGTGAAATGGGCTTTTTATAGTAAGCTACCACAAGATATCTAACGGGGTAGTGAACAAACTGTGAATATATTAGTGAATATATTTATTTTTATTCCAACAGGAAAATAGAACACTGTTTTTGTGTTTGTATAAAACATGGTGCCATAATCCTGTTGCAACTGTGGCGTTATGTTTACTCACTCAGAGCTACAGCCATGTGTGTGACCTGATTAAATTATTGTATCCTTTACTAGTTTTTCAAGATAGAAAATATTCAAAATTTTAATGGTTTAATTTTATTTTGAAACCTTTTGATTATGTAATAAAATAATTTTAATTGATTTCTTTGATTCACAGCTCCTGGATATTAAAAAAGAACGAAAACTAACAACATTTATAAAGCTAAAGTATATTCCTTAACTAATTTTTACAGTGGAACTGTAGAGGTAACAGTTGATTTTTTGATGGAAATAGACAAACTGGTCCAATTAATTGAATCTCCAATATTTGCGTGTAAGTACCGTTTAACATTTTTGTTAAACGTTTGTAAGCTATTTGACATTTCACGACAGATAGTTTATATTTTGCATCAAAATTTTAAACCGCACAAGTAGGCGTTTATGAAAAATATTGCATCTAGGGTTGGAACCTTATTTTGTTTCCTTTACTCCTTTTACTACAGCTGTAATAGATTATAATATTTAGCTTAGATATATTATCTTCATAAAACAAAAAAAAACAAAAAAAAAGCAAAACAAGTTGATGTCGCCCTCAATGAGACAAGCAGAATCATCACCGGATGCTTAAAGCCAACACCCCTGGACAAGATCCACCATCTAGCTGGCATCGCCCCTCCTGCCATCCGTAGAGAGGCAGCTGCACTCAAAGAACGATCCAAAGCAGCAGCAACTGAACGCCACCTACTCTACGGCATCCAATCCGCTCATCAGCTTCCTGCGATCGACAGAAGACTACGAGGAACCTAGAACCAATGTGGACCTTTGGGAGAAGACCTCAAATCAACATTGGATGGAGCCGAAGGAACAATTGGCACCAGGAAGCGACGAAAACTGGGAAACTTGGAGAGCTCTTAACAGACTGCGTACGGGCACAGCGAGATCGAGAGACATTCTTGCCAAGTGGGGCTACCATGTGGACTCCAACCTCTGCGAATGTGGAGCACTACAAACCACCCAACATATGTATACTTGCCCACTGTGCCCCGCCAAGTGCACTATAGAGGACCTTATGGCAGCAAAGTCGAACGCAATTGACCATTAAGAACAGTTTCTTAAACAAAAAAGAAATCCCGAGAGCAGTGAAGATGAGTGTATACAAGACAGTATTCATACCGACCTTGATTTTTGGCTGTGTTGGGTATTAACTAAAAGATTGAAGAGTAAGATCCAAAGAATGGAGATGTTATATCTACGAAGAGTACTTGGGGAAGCAAGGAAAGATAGACTAAGAAACAGCTTTATAAGAGAGGAACTAAAAGTAGACTCGATCCTGAATAAAATTGGGTAATGTCAGCTTAGGTGGTATGGACATTTGATCAGAATGAACAACGACATACCAGTAAAAGGCGTATGGGAAGCTAAAATGCAGGGAAAGAGACCAAGGGGAAGACCAACTAAAACATGGAATGACACTATAGAGAAGATAGTGCTATATAGTGGATAGTGGATATATGCAATAGTGGATAGAGGACTAACATTAATAGAAGCCAAAAGTTTAGCAAGAGACAAAAATAAATGGAAACAATTTGAGTATAGTGTAGCAATTAAGTGAATTTATTTTATTTAGTATACCTTACACCTTCGGGTAGAAAGGTTTTTGATTATATATACAGGGTGTTTCAAAACAAATGCGAAAAATTTTAGGGGGTGATTCCTTGTTCAAAATAAAGGGTAGTTTGCTTTATAAACGTTGGGTCAAAAGTCAACCATTAGGGAGATATCGCGGTACAAAGATTGCGGAAAAATAATGTTTTTATTTTTTATCTTGAAAACAAAAAGAGATAGACTAATGAAATTTTATGGAAGCATTGCTGTTATGAAAACACACTTTCAGGTAATTTTTTACTTTTTTAAAATGAGTAGAAGGGGTTGAAATAAACTACCCCTATCATTCTTGTTAACGAAATTTAAAGAAAAATCTTATCAAACACATGCAAATGCTTTAATTTGGATAGTTTAGTTTGTTTAGAAACTTTTTTATCTCTTGTGTTTTTTTGATAAAACTCACCGATTGGAAATTAAAAAATAAAATGTAAAGCATTACATGTCAGGACAAAAAACATTTTTAGATTAAGAATCTAGTGATAATAACGATAATAATAATCATCTAGATAATAACGTATTGCAGTAGAGTAATGTCAAATAAAATAATATTAGGAATATCCTAAAAAGTAACAGCAGCCCACTAGATTCTTTATCAGAAAATGTTTTTTGTCCTGACATGTAATGCTTTACATTTTATTTTTTAATTTCAAATCGGTGAGTTTTATCAAAAAAATACAAGAGATAAAAAAGTTTCTAAACAAACTAAACTATCCAAATTAATTTTTTTGTATGTGTTTCATAAGATTTTTCTTTAAATTTCGTTAACAAGATTGATAGGGGTAATTTATTTCAACCCCTTCCACTCATTTTAAAAAAGTGAAAAAATTACCAGAAAGTGTGTTTTCATAACAGTAATGCTTCCATAAAATTTTATTAGTCTATCTCTTTTCGTTTTCAATATAAAAAATAAAAACATTATTTTTCCGCCATATTTGGACCACAATATCTCCCTAATGGTTGACTTGTGACCCAACGTTTATGAAGCAAACTACCCTTTATTTTGAACAAGGAATCACCCCCTGAAGTTTTTCGCATTTGTTTTGAAACACCCAGTATATATATTTTTTTTTCTACAAACGTAAAATCCGGCGGCACTGTATACCGCTTTTGATTTTCTGATCTTTTTTTGATCTGACAGCCATCTGTCTTATCTGATTAGAAATCTTGTAGCTCTCCCCCTGAATTTAGTTATCTTCAAGATACCATAGAAAAATCTCATAATTCATTTTTCTCAAATAAAAACGATTTTATTTTTTTTTAGAAAATGTTAAATAATATGTGAATTGAAATATTATTATATGCTTGAATAATAGCGAATTTAAAAAAAATCTAATTAATAAAATAAATAATCTTAGTTTCCATCAAAAATAAGAATATAACAATTATTTCATGGATTTAAGAACACCGGTCATTAATATCTCATATTTTTTCTTTTTTTTTGGAAAAATTCTGATTCTGTTATTCTTTGTCTCTTTCTAGATTTGAGACTGGAATTGTTAGAGGTACCCTGTGACAGGCATTTAGTCAGGGCATTATACGGACTATTAATGCTGTTACCGCAAACTGAAGCCTTTGTTACACTGAAAACACGATTGAGTTGTATACCCAGTTTGCATCTGCAGCACACCGAATCGTGAGTACAATTATTTCATTAAGAATCTAGTCTTTCTACTTTACAGGGTATTATTATGTAACAAATTATTTTCCATTTCTTGCAGTGCAGTTTTGTTATTGAAATGATCTAGGATTGATGTCAAAATTATTTTTGTGAAAAATCTTCCAAATTTTCTTATAACTATCTTTTTTTTTATATTTTAGCACACCAGAGAAAAAAAAATCGAAATTGCCAATAGACTTTCCAAATATGCTCATCCATTTTTGTGCAGTACAAGACAAACACAAAGAGTACAAAAGACTATCTCACCTGAAAGACTTAAAGACATTTGACAGAGATACTGTCAACGAAGATACTTAGATTATTTAATGTATTATCATAGATAAAGAAAACGTTCAGATTGGAAAGTGCCCATAAGGATAATGTAAATACTATCTGGCGCTATTCTTACAACGGTCGCTCTCCAAAGCTTTTGATAATTTCGGAGCGGTTCGGCTTTTTCCGGAATTATGTCGCCAAATATTATTTACTCAAAAAGACATGTATGAAATACCTATGTAAGATTGGAAACCGACGTTTTGCCACGATCCACGATGGTTTTTGCAGTTCACAGTTCACAGTTCACAAGCCTTTTAAACGCGCCTTATCAACCGCTATAGCAGCGCCCTACAACGTATGCACCTCAAAACAATTAAAGTTTTGGCGGTAAGCCGAGCATTCCAATCTAAACTTGTTTCCTTTATCTATGTGTATTATACAGGGTGGTCCGAACTGTATTCCGGAAACTTCGGCAGCATACTCTGCCGATAAAAATAAATAAAAAAGTTCCTATAAATGTATGTGCTAAAATGCTTAGTTTCGGAGATACCTGTATCTGAGACACCCTCTGTATTTCCGAAACTAAGCATTTTAGCACATACATTTATACGAACTTTTTAACTTATTTTTATCTGCAGAATATCCTGATAAAATGTCCGGAATACAGTTCGGACCACCCTGTATATTGTTTGGTATAAATATAATATTTATTATGTCCAAGTGTACATTCCAAATAGTATTTGTTTGAATTTCTTAATAATGTTATTGTGTATATGTATTGTAATGTAAATAAGTTTAAAATTGTAAGAAACTACAAAATCTTAAGTATTTTGTATATTTATATTATCTTTGTATTGTTACCCTGACTTTTTTTTATTGTAAAAATGTGAAATATATGTTTTGAATTGTTCTTGGTTTTATTTTGAGAAGATAACAAAGTTATACAGGTTTTCTCACACAACTGGATATAATTTAAGGGTTAATGGTTTCAAGTATGGGGGTCTTGCAAGTATATTATACCTTTCAAATAATTCCACTTCCTGACAATTTTATTTTTGACGGCAAATAAACTAAAAATAAGAAAAAAAGATTTTTCCATTTAAAAAATCGACTTTTTATAGCTTTGTTTACGTAATATTTGTGAACACCTGTATAATATCTGATAAATTATTGTAAAAATTTAAATAGAGTAAAACCTTTCCTAAAAGACAGGCAACATAAATTTTTGAAAAAAATGCAACGATATTGAAAGGTATTTAATTATCTTTTGCTTTTTTTGTACATCTTGTATATTAATGTGGGTAGTTACCTCAATGTGAAATCTAGGTGTGAAATAAATATAAATAGAATCAAATAATATCACTGTCGTATATTATTTTTATTTGTTTTTAATTTTATTCCATGACAGTTTTTCTGGTTGCCTATGGTCGCATACTGTATTACTACATTTTTAAGAAAAAGTGGTTAAAGCAGTAATACAAAAGCGAATTATAATAAAACTCATTAACAGAATACACTTTTTTTATTTATTACTAAAAAAACTGTATTTACTTTTTTAAGATTTGAGTAGATTGTAAAAATACGATTTTTTTTTCATAAAAACCATAGAGCGCGGCTGGCGCGGTCTTCAGCGCGGCGTTTACACAACTGAAGGATTAAAAAAATAAATTAAGGCGGCTCTGGCTTCAAATAATACAACTTTTTTATAAATAACGCCATCATTAATTGTTTGTTACTGACTTGATGTGTTGTGTTTGTGCAAAATGGTGATAAAATTGGCCAGAAATACAGTAAAAATAGGTAGGTAAGTACCAGATATTTTCCTATATTAGGGTTTATTTGATCATTTAATTTTATATTTTTTCCGTAAATTTCGATTTTCTTGGCAAATTCATATCACTGCTTTTTTCTAAAACCTTTTCAGTAAATAAGTTTAGCTGAAGTCAACGCGATATTCAAGGCATTCATTTATGTTTGTAAAATTGAATTTTTGACGATGTGGGTAGTTAATTATTTTATAATGTTTTTATTACAAATGCAATGCAATCATTTTATATAATATATTATACCTATAACATAACATTAAACAATATTTAACCCCAATCATTGGATTCGAACAAAAGCTTTATCGAGACCTTTATATAGATTTTTGGGTTTTCTGGTAGTTCACAGGCATGTTGGGTTGAAATTAATCAAAAATAATATTATAATTTGCAAAATATTGCAAATAAATCGAATATTAAAATTTAAAATAGCACATAGCACGGCTATTTTTCTGTTTACTGGGTGTTACAAAAAAAGTAACACTGGGTTTCCTCTTTGAGGAATACCCATCGAAAAAAAAAATGGCGTCAATATGGCTGCCATTTCAAAATATGTAAAATTATAAAGTATGTCCCAAGATAGTCTTTACAAGAGGCAAAACGTATTGTAATTATGAACGCTTTGAGAACAATAATTCCTTGTTTTAAAATGGCTAATTCGGTTTATACTAATTTTCTCTAAATTTCCATATACCGTTTTAGAGGAAAATAAAAAATATGAAAATATGGGGGGCTGAATTTTATCTGAGTAAAAATCAAAACTCGTCTGGTAATGCCGTTTATTTTTTATTTTCTGAGAGATGATTATTATTAATTTTGATTATAATTGCCTGGAAACTTATATGGTGAAATTTTGATAAAATAATTAATTTAGTACTCACTAAAAACACGATATGTCGCTAGTGGTAGCAAAAATAATTTTTAGAGGTTACTAGTTTATTTGGTTGCCTGTGATATGTATATACAGGGTGTTTCCTAATTAATCTAAAAAATAAAAAATCGTTAGAAAACGGCTTAAGGCGGGCTCTTAATAAGTATATTTTTTTTCGGCAACCGTTTGATGAACAAGAAAAACTCAAAAGATCAATTTTGTTGAAAAAGGATGGCCAGTCAAGAAAAAAATATATTTTCTTTAAACAAGCAGTAGTGTACCGTTTATGTTAAGCAAAAAAATCGATTTTTTTAAATTTTTAACACCCTGTAGATCAGAAAGGAAGTACTTTAGACCTAATGGTTATATAAAAATTGTTTTAAGAACACATGAGGAATCACACCATAATTTTTTTAGACTAATTCGAAAACACCCTGTATATTGTCAACTTGACAATGACTGCTGATAAATCAACAAATACCTTTTCAGTGAAAAAAGCCTGATTTTCGCAGGAAAAATTTTGATTTTTATTGAATTTGGGCCTGCGTTTGCAAATACTTGTTTGTTTTTTAATTTTCTATCTATCTAAATTTTAAATATCATAGTCAGAAATAGTTTTATTATTTATTAACTGTAAAAATGGCGTTTTCTTGTTGTGTTGCATCTTGCAAAGAAACTAACAAAACTGCAAAAATGTACGTGTTTCCAAAAGACGATAAGGTATGTATCTTAGATAAAAGAAAATATATGGTATGTATTCGTTGTTTGATTTTTTTCGTTCGCTTTAAAATCTATAAATCCCAATCTATTCATTAGACAGCCAGTCGACTTACGATCATTTACATGAAACTCTGTAAAATAAATAAAAAAATAAATTGTAAAATATATATATTCTTATGTTTTATTAAAGTTACTCTGATATACTAATATATCAGTGTAACTTTAAAAATAAATCCTTTGAATTCAAATATAAACATAAAAAACATTTACAGCAGAAAAGGCGAAGGCGCTGGGTTAAACGTAGTCTCTACTAAAAACACGGAGGGGCGCTTTGACCCAAAATTTTACTATTAAGTTTCATATCTATCTTAATAGTAGATTATTTTCTTTTATCTATGACATAGAACTACGTATTTTTTCGAATTAAAATAAGTTAATTGCACATAATTCACCTTTATACAAAAGTGCTTAATTTGTCCGTTAGAGGGCAAAAATCAGAAATAAACCCGAACGTTAATTAATTTGAAATATTTTATTTTTTTAAAGCTTTTTATATGAAGCTTATCAAAAATACGCAGTAGTTTTATGTCCGCGGAATATTGGGACACCCTGTATATCACATATGCTTTTTATTTATAACAGTTTTATGTAAATTTGAAAAAATATATAAAGATAGTGGATGTGAAACAGTTAAGTCTAAATACATGGTTAATTTGAAATCAGGAATAAATTAAGTTTGGTAGGTATCTATATTTTATCGAATGTCGATAAGTTTTTTAAATTGGAAAAAAATGTGCTATCTAATACACTTATAATATACAGGGCGTCCCATTAAAAAATAGTTTATACCAATAACTGTGACATTTTACAGCGTAAACATTTTTGGTAATATGTTTATTTTTAATTCTTCACTTATTGAAAAAATAATATATACGGTGCGTTCTACACACACCGGAAAAATCTAGGGATATCATTTTATTAAAGTTAAAAATAAATGTTTTGAATAAACAACCACATATTACTAAACGAAGTAGTCACACTAGTTATTTCTAAATTTGGGATATTTGCAGAAGTGTTTGTGCATTTTTTGTCAAATGTATAAAAAGCACCTAGCATCAATTGTTCGAATTTAACCTGTACTGGCTATCTTTTAATGATAACTGGTCAGAATTCATTCAAATAACTCTGTTTAGTATTAAACGACATTATGGAGCGTAGACATCTTAACAGAGACGAAATGCTAAGGGCCATGGGTATGCTCGAAGCTGGAATGCGCCAAATCGACGTAGCTAGAGCATTAAATACAACGCAAAGTGTAATATCGCGATTAAGTGCACGCTACCGTGAAAGTGGTGATGTTGCTGAAAGGCACACAGGGCGACATCGCATTACTACCCCTCAGCAAGATCATTTTTGACAATTAAATGCTCGACGCCGACCGACTCTTACAGCACCAGAGCTTAGTTTAATTCTCCAGGAAACACATAATGTAACCGTTAGTACTGACACTGTTCGCAATATATTAAGAGAGGTCAACTTAAGAAGCAGACGCCCCTGGAGAGCTCAACCCTTAACGAAAGGAAATCGAGAGGTACGATATTTGTGGGCTCAATATCATGTTCAGTGGTCGAATGAACAATGGGCCAATGTTCTCTTCACGGATGAGTCATGCTTTGGAATTAATCCGGATTCGAGAAGGCTTAGGGTATGGAGAGAACCGGGAAATCTTATTCGGTTGGATCATGTTCAGGAAGTGCACCCTTATCAAGGTGGAACAGTTTTGGTCTGGGGAGGAGTCCAGTTAGGCCGAAAAACCGATCTCGTTTTTCTTGAAAGGTTTCTAATAGGAATCACATATCGTGATTTAATTCTTGAGCCTGTCGTGTTACCATATGCCAATGATTTTGGAAGAAACTTCATTCTCATGCATGACAATGCACGGCCTCATACAGCCAGAGTGGTAAGTGAGTTTACCAATGCTCATCAATTAAACATCTTACCTTGGCCGGCACAATCTCCTGACCTCAACCCCATCGAGCACGTATGGGACGCGGTCCATAGAAGAATTTTGAAAATGGGTATGCCTCGTGAAACTCGTAGGGATCTGGTTCGGGCCATGAATGCAGCGTGGCAAGCTGTACCTCAAGAAGAGATCGACAACCTGATCAGGAGCCTGGAGAGACGATGTAGGGCTGTAATGAACAGTAGAGGAGGCCATACCCTTTATTAAGTAAAAATGATTTTATCTTTTTTTTTTAATTCACAGTTTAGAATAAACAAAAATGTGTGTATTTTTTGAGTTCAATAAAAATCTATAATGTAAACTATTTGTTTATTTTAATTTTATTATATCAGAAATGCAAATAATAGAATTACTGACGATGGCTGGATAAAATTGTAATATCCCTAGACTTTTCCGGTGTGTGTATATAAAAAACGAAGAAAAATTATTTTATATTTTATAAAGTTTGGCGTAGAGTTTTGAACATTCTGCATTATTTACAATTACGATATTTAAAGTAAACTTAAAGTACAGACCATCTAAAGTAAATACCTAATATAGTTTTGATTTCAGGACAGTTCTTGTATTTTTAATATTTTTTTTAAGAAAGGCTTAAAAATATATATTTTTTATTTATTTTTTAATATATCTGAAAGTGTCAAAACATATTTAATAATATTTTAGGATTATATAAAGCGATCAGAAGGGAAGCCAAAAATGCAATAATATACAGGGTGTTCTATTTAAAAAAAATCTCTCGATCCGCTCATACTTTTTTGAGCCACCCTATAGAAGTTAAAATATTTTCCTGAAATAAATCCTAGTACATAGGTTTGCACTGAAACAAAATTCCCAGGTTTTTATTCTAGGAGCTACATATGCCCGACGCTCTATTGCCGGTCCCTGTATACAGGGTGGTCCAAATTGTATTTCGGAAACTTTGCAAACATATTCTGCACATTAAAATAAGTAAAAAAGTTCGTATAAATGTATGGCCTAAAATGCTTAGTTTCGGAGAATGGAAATAAAAATGAAACTTCTACACCCTGTATCTCCGAAACTAAGCATTTTAGGACATACATTCATATGTACTTTTTTACTTATTTTTATCTACATAATGCTGCCGAAGTTTTCGGAATACAGTTCGGACCACCCTGTATATTTAGTTTAGTGAAAAATACTTTTCTTCTGATATCTATTGTACTAAATCAATTTTACACTAATCCCAGCTACTCAAGAAAATAAATCTCGACAAATCCGTTGATAAATATTAATCAACCGAGATACTCATCTACTATAAATAATTCGTTTGTTTTTAAAAGTGCCCTTCCATAGGCTACTGATATTAAAAAAATCTCTAATACACTATTGCTTATCTTAAGGCTTTTGGTGGCGATTAATCCATAACGGTACCTAAACGAATATAGACGACAAATATTATTTATTTAAATTTTTATAATACGCATAACGTAAAATTATTTTAAACAAATATGGCCGAAGCGGGCATTCGAAGAAAAACGCAATTGTTACTTCAAACTATTTCTCCCGTTTATAACACTTATGATGAGTTAGTGAAAAAGAAATTGAAGAGGGGGAAGTTTCCACAGACGAAAACAGGGATTATAAAAATGGTTGGCATGGTAAGTATGTTAAAATATATTATTAGGCCAGTCATCTAAGACATTTAAAATGGCAAACATTGCAAACGGGATTGTATCTACCATTTTTTAATATATTGTTAGGACCCATGAGAATAAGTTATGCCCAATTTTGCAACCCTCAAAACCCTGTGCTACTCCCTTGATACTCAAAAAACCTCAAAATTTTGGTACTTATTTCAGTTTTTTTGAAAAAACTATGTTAAGGAAGCATTTTTCAAATTTAATTGTTCTATACTTTTATAAAGCCAACTAAATTTCCTACAATTTAAGCCCAACCCGAATACTCTAGGCTAATTCGTTGTCGAAATACAGCCAAACAAATATGGGCTATTTTTTGAAAAACTAAAAATGTTTGAGTACAGTCACGTTCCAAAGCATGTATCGCCTAAACTAATGGCTCTAGAGAAAAGGAGTGAGGAATGGTTGTAGAGAATTTATTCAGCTTTAATCTGATGTAAGAACAGGGCCGCTAGGTGTCGTATTTTCCTCAAAAACAAAAAGTGAAGACCTTGGCATCAGTCACCACCTCTGTGAAAGTGTTGAATAAAAAAGTTAATGTTGATCCTCTCACCATATTCCACAGGGGCATCACCAAACAATCCGATGAGCAATTGAAGCAGCATTTTGCTTATGAGCTAGCACCATATCCGTTGTCCTTGTTCACTGAAGAAGGAATGCGCAAGGGTACTAAATCTTTCTTCTATTCAGCATTTACACCGCTCGCTAAAAACATTATCCCAGGAAACAAGGCGTTTTGGTAGTCTGGCATCGAAATTATTCATCAGAGATATTGTGGCTGGATACGTCAGCTACGTTTTAAACAACTTTGGTAAAAATGTTGTAGTTGTTTTTGATGGATACCCAGAAGATGCGGCTATGAAAAACACTAAATCAGCTGAACGTCTGCGGCGATCTTCTTCTCTTTCCTGTGGTGACATTTTGTTTGATGAAGCGACACTCATCAAAGTGCCTCAAGCAAAAGTGCTCTCCTATGCAAACAAACGCCGACTGATCACCATGATGTGTACCGAATTTGAGAGACAGGGTATCGAGGTACATCAACCATCAGAATACGCCGATGCTGAGATAGTGAGAACTGCCCTCTCCAAGAGCTCATCGTACGAACAAGTTTTTATCATGGGGGAGGATATTGATTTACTGGTCTTCCTAAATGGCTTGAGCTGTGGACAAACAAACCTCCACTTCCAGAAAGGCGGTAGAAGTGGATCTGAGTGCGCTCAATATGAAGCAAATTCTTTTTAAGCGGAAAAATGCAGCTTCCAGGAGAGATGGTTTTGTTTCTGCATGCAATCAGTGGGTGTGACACCACTTCTGCTTTTTTCTGGCAAGGCAAAATGAAGTGGTGCGAATGTCTACAAAAAAAATCCCCATTGGATAGACCTCGCCACCATTTTCTTTGATCCAAACTCGACGCAGGAAGAAGTAGGAAATGCTGGCGAGGAGATTTTGTTGAACTTCTATGGAGGGGATCAGGGCACGCTGAACAGCGAGGGGGTCGAGAAAAATCCATCCGACTGGGGATGGACCACCAGTCAACAGGGTCTTATGCCAATAACTATCCGTACAGAGCCCGCCCCTCAAAACCTGCTTAAGATGGTTGCAAGCAGATGCAAGAAAGGCTGCTCCAATGCAGCCAACAGCAGTGCAAGTGCAGGATCCTTCCTGCACTTGCAGAAAAGCACAACTGAAGTGCTCCATCCTCTGTTCCTTTTACCAACGGTGAAGCTGCAACAACGTTGCTCCCATCATCTTGGATGACGAGGACGAGGAATTGAACGATTTAACATATGATGACCCATCTCCATAGTCAGAGAATGTCCTTCCTCCTCCTCTTCCCCCCTCTCCGACTGATCCGGAATGGATGGGACCCAGTCCTTCTAAGAGGACCAAGTAAAGTAGGGCTTTTATATATCTGGGGAGTTTTCCCCAGAGCCATTAGTTTAGCCGATACCTGCTTTGGAATGTGACCGTACTCACAAATTTTTAGTTTTTCAAAAAAATTGCCGATCTTTGATTGGCTGTATTTGAACAACGAATTAGCCTAGAGGGCTCGGGTTAGGCTTAATTTGTAGGAAATTTAGTTGACTTTATAAAAGTATAGAACAATTAAATTTGAAAAATGCTTTCTTAAGACAGTTTTTTCAAAAAAACTGAAATAAGTACCAAAATTTTGAGGTTTTTTGAGTATCACGGGAGTAGCACAGGGTTTTGAGGGTTGCAAAATTGGGCATAACTTAGTCTCATGGGTCCTAACAATATATAAAAAAATCATACATACAGTCCCGTTTGCAATGCGGGATGTCTTAAATGACTGGCCTATATATAGGGAAATTAAAATAACTTTGGTTGCACATCGTAATACGACCATCAGCAAACTCCATAAGACGACGCATGGTGTCATTGATGACGTCCACCCAAAGTTGTTTTAATTTCCCTTTATCGTGTGTTGCATTGCCATATTTATACAGGGTGGTCCGAACTGTATTCCGGAAACTTCGGAAGCATATTCTGCAGATAAAATAAGTAAAAAAGTTCTTAAAATGTATGCCCTAAAATGCTTAGTTTCGGAGATACAGGGTGGAGAAGTTTCATTTTTATTTCGGCTATTTCCAAAAAATTTCTGAAGTAACGTCACTATTTGGATGACAATTGATGTCTGGGAGTTTTATGACATCAGAAATTTGATTTTGATGTCAATATGACTCCTACTTGTAGAGGGCGCCTCCTACATGTTTTTAATTGGTTTGAAGAGTAATAACTTTTCATCCGTACCTGTATAAAGCCACTGAGTGAAAAAATATACCTTTCCATGATTTTTTACTTAAAAAATATATCTTTGTAAAAATCGCTACGGGCAACCCTCAAGATATTTAGAATGGAAATAGTCAATATAGGAATGTTATATCCAAAAAAATCCTTTATGGGTATTTCGCCACTGCACTGCAAGAAAAATCTACAAAATAAAATAGTTATTTTTTGCAAACACTTCTGCGTTAAACCTAAACGGACGCTGCTTGTCAGAAGTTGTGTTTACAGTAATAAAAATTTGCCTAACAAAGAAAAAAATGCTTAACGTTTCGGAAAGTTTTCTCTTTCCGATTTTTTTTTGGATAGATGAATCGGCCACATAGGTATAGACATTTTTTAGGAATGTCATTATTGACAAAAAATAAACATGTTGAGTAGAAAGTTATTTGACTGAAATAATAAATTTGGGAACTTTTTTTAAATTAATCATAAATTTTTCTTCGAAAAAATGACGATAAAACAGTTTCTGTTGAACTTTTAGCACAAAAAGATTTTAAATTTATGATTTCAGTCTAATAACTACCGTATGATCGAATAAAAATGGTGTCAACGATGGCTATAAAATGAAGATCGCTGTCATTTTATATCTAAAATTATATGGGAAATGTGTCATCGATCGTCATTTCATAGCCATCGCTGACGCCAGTTTATTCGATCATGCGGTATTTAGTCAACATGTATAATTTATGTCAATGATGACAGTTATTGATAATTTCGATTCTAAATATCTCGAGAACCATTACTAGTAGCGATTTTTATCAAGAGACCTTTTTACGTAAAAAGCATCGTAAATGTATATTTTTTACTCAGTAGTTTTATACAGGTACGGACAAAAAGTTATTACTCTTCAATCCAGTTAAAAATATGTAGGTAGCGCCCTCTACAAGTAGGAATCATATTGGTATCAAAATCATATTTTTCATATCAAAAAACTCGCAGACACCAAGTTTCATCCAAATATTGACGATACTTCAGGAATTATTTAGAATAAATCGAAATAAAAGTGAAACTTCTACACCCTGTATCTCCGAAACTAAGCATTTCAGGACACATAATATTTATACGAACTTTTTCACTTATTTTTATCTGAAGAATATGCTGCCGAAGTTTGCGGAGTACAATTCGGACCACTCTGTATGTTGGACATAGGAAATCCCATGTACATTTCCCCATTTTATTTTACAGAAAAATCTATTTGAAACTTTTTAGAGAACTCTTGAATGGTTTTTACGAATTCGTTCTTGAATTGTGAGATATACAATAATACTAAAATAGGCGGAAACTTAAAATAATGCGATCTTGATCAAACAAACATAACAATCACAAGTATACAGGGTGTCCCAGGCTGAGCGTGCATTAGAAGTTTCTAGAGAACTACAATAATATCTAGATTGGAGATTTTTTTCACATCATTGTTTTACAACAAAATCTATCAATTAAAAATGCTTATTTTCAATATGGCGGCTCTTCCGGAAAGACTGGAAGTTGACAGAAACTTTCTTATTTTAAATGGGTACCCCCATTTTTTATTACATAGTACTTAAATTCTCTGTAAAATTTTATGAATACTGATATTAAACACTCTATACCTAACATTAACCGTTTTTGAAAAAAATAATATTTAAAATTTTTGGATGAAAAAAAGTACCTGGCAAAAAAAAATGTATAGCCTATAAATCAAATATAATGATTATCATAGTCACTGTGACATAAAGAAAAGACATGTGACTATCTAATTCAAAAATTGAATTGTTTGAATGTCATATAATAATGGCGATAGCTGTCATGGAATTGAGCGAATAAAAAATTATCATAATTTTTTTTTTCAGATGGCAACCCACTTTTTTATTTCAATAGTGAAAAGGTTTTTCAATTCGTTACTTTTCGACTATACATGTTCCTATACCTAAAATAAATCGTTTTTAAGTTATTAAAGATTTAGTTTTAAAGCATACATTTTTCTTGATTTTACCCAGTAGCCTACGACTTTAAACGTCAAATGACGTAAAACAATAGATCTGGCCATGTCATATTGTGACAGTTTATTCAGAAAGCAGTATGTATAAGAAAGTTGCTGTCAACTTCCGGTATTTTCAGAAGTACCGCCATATAGAAAATATTTTTAATCGATAGATCTCGCTGTGAAACAATGATGTGCTAAAAATCTCCAATCTAGATATTGTAGTTCTCTAGAAATTTCTAATGCACGCTCAGCATGGGACATCCTGTATGTCACAATATGACAAATCTATTATGATGTTTTTTTTACAGAGATCTGTCAAAAATATTCTCAGTTTTTTTCTATGAATTGTACCTATGCGTTTACATACTTACAAAAAATACACTGTCTTTTTACTAATTATTAACTAACTGATTAATAAGCACCCTAACTAGACTTTTTATGTTTTGTATTAAACGCCAGTAATAAAACCACATAATATTTCTTCTAAATTTTACTTTTCTTTGGTATAAAACTTATATTTTAGTCTCTCGAGTTCAGTAGCCTAGCTTCTTGGATTGTGATTACACCGCAGTGTAACAACTGGACAATAGCTTACGTATTCTTGGTCAGCGACAGTATAGGATTTCTTGGTCAATTAATACTATTTTTACTATTTTCTTTGGGATTGACAATTAAAAACCCTGGACGCTGGATATCTGCGGTTTGTACTTTTGTAAAATTACTAATTTTTATTAATTTTCATTATATTTTTAGGATGTTGGTTTCAATTTCTTCGTATCGTTGTTAACGATTATAGACGCTATTTTAACACTTAAAATGTGTGTTAATAATAAGAGCCTAATATATAGATTGGCAGAGGTAAATAATAATTGTTAATAACAAATTCAGTTTTTAATTTTTACAGTTTTTGTTTTTTAGATATTAGGTATATGCGGTGCGGGAGTAGAGCTCTTAAGCTGTGTAGCTATTTTGTTGATGTACCGCTACGTAGAAGATGATGTTGAAGGAAGCACACAAACTCCCCCGAGATCTTTGGCCAATCAGAGAAAGTCTATATTCGCTTAGAATGTTTCGAAATTATACAGGGTGGTCCGAACTGTATTCCGGAAACTTCGGCAGCTTATTTTGCAGATAAAAATAAGTAAAAAAGTTCGTATAAATGTATGTCCTAAAATGCTTAGTTTCGGAGATACAGGGTGTAGAAGTTTAATTTTTTCCAAATAATTTCTGAACCAACGTCAATGTTTGGATGAAAATTGGTGTGTGGGAGTTTTTTGACATTTGATTTTGTTGTCAGTATGACTCCTACTTGTAGAGGGTGCTGCCTACATATTTTTTAACTGGTTTGAAGAGTAATAACTTTTTGTCCATGCCTGTATAAAATTACCGAGTAAAAAAATATACATTTGCGACGTTTTTTATGTAAAAAAGGTTTCTTGGTAAAAATCGCTACGAGTAATGGTTCCCGAGTTATTTTGAATTGAAATTATCAATACCTGTCATCATTGACATATAAATTAAACATATTGACTAAATAGTTATTAGACTGAAATCATAAATTTCAAAATGTTTTTGTGCTAAATGTCCAACAGAAAAACTGTTTTATCATTTTTTCGAAGAAAAATTTCCCAATTTTACAATTTCAGTCAAATAACTATATATCTACTCATCATATGCTTATTTTTTGTCAATAATAACATGTAATGACTATTACCATTCTAAATATCATGAGAACGGTTGCTCCTAGAGATTTCGACAAAGATACATTTTTTACGTAAAAAATCAGGTAAATGTATATTTTTCACTCAGTACAGGTACGGACAAAAAAAGTTATTACTCTTCAAAACAGTTAAAACACATGTCGGTGGTGCCCTCTACAAATAGGAGTCATGTTGATATCAACATCAAATTTCGAATATCAAAAAACTCACAGACACCAAATTTCGTCCAAATATTGACTTTATTTCATAAATTATTTGGAAAAAAACCGAAATAAAAATAAAACTTCTACACCCTGTATCTCCGAAACTAAGCATTTTAGGACATACATACAGTTATACGGACTTGTTTACTTATTTTTATCTGCAGAATATTCTGCCGAAGTTTCCGGAATACAGTTCGGACCATCCTGTATGCATGTATGTATAAACAAATATAAATTATTTTTATTTCATATTTTAGTTGTACCTGCAAGATATTTGTTTAAAACTCAAATAATTAGATAAATTAATATTGATTTATCATTTAAACATTTATATTTATCTAAGTTTATTATGTTTATATGGTATAAATAAATAATTTACTTGTTCTTGTACTTATTCCTTATTCTAGTATTAATGGCTAATCCACAGGGTGATCCAGTATTTCAAAAAAGGTCCATATCCGATCTCCTATTTGAGAATTACCTACACTCCAATCGTTTTGCATGTTAGCAAAAGTATCGCTCTTTTTAATGTTTTTGATCGCATATTTTAAAAACGTTCATTGAGGTGCTAGTTGTTAGAGTTTAAAATGACCAACTAATGGTTTAAGCAGCTTTTAAAACCGAAAAACCTTAACAACAATTTAAATAATTATTATTCAGTACACAAGGACTTGCTTAAGTAAGGAGAGGTTTCCAAGCTTCCCCAAGAGAAGAAAGAAACCGAAATTCTTCGTGGAATCGTTTACCGGAGCATCCATCTTCATTTGTTAGCGTCCCTATTTACAAACAAATTCTTAAACTGATATTCTTTATATAATTTAATGATGATTTATAGCCTGTTTTCTTGTCAGAGGCCTAGCGCCCTATTTAGAATCCGAACACCTGTAATTCGTGATTAATTTCCTTTTGGAAAACGCTTAGTTTTTGTTGGTCCTTTGTGAAATGATAAAGTTATAAGTTTTATAGAAAAAGCTGGATTTATCGTCAATGAAATAGAAAAATTAAAAATATATATTTACAGTAGAACTTCGGACTAGAGGTGTGTAGTTCGTGAACGAACTAGTTCCAATGAACTATTCCGGCCCCGGAATGAAAGGAACTAGTTCATCAGGACCTATTCCGGGATCGAGAGTGTGACCGATATTATATTATAATAATATGCGACGACGCCGGATCGGCCAGCGCCCCTAGCCCTATGCTAGGCCGCTAGGCAGGCGCGGGTAGTGCCAGCCGTATGTTATTGGATCCGGACCTAGAGGAACTGAATAAAATACTAGTTACGGACGGATCAACAAGCGCGATCGATGCTAGACAGGAGTGGGGAGTGCCAGCCGTATGTTATCGAATCCGAACCCAGAGGAACAAAATAAAAGACTAGTTTACGTACCGATCAACAAGCGCGATTAATGCTAGGCAGGCGTGGGGAGTGCCAACCGTATGTTATCCGATCCGGACCTAGAGGAACTAATTAAAAGACTAGTTCGCGGGAATCTCGGCAGATCCGAGACATAATACAAGGCGACGACGATGGATATACCTACAGAAAATTGTCGTGGATACTGTTTTTGATTTTTAGTTTCTTCTTTAAATATTTTATGGGAATGTTCCACTTTATGTCCCTAAAATTAAGATATATCTTATAAAACGAAGTAGATATTTTGAATTTATAGACAAAAACAAAAAGTTTGAAGTGAGGAAAAATGCAATTTTTCGTAAAGTTTTCGTAATATTTACTCCAATTGATTTGTGATATAGTTTTTTAAACTCTAATTTGAGTTTCTTTTTTTTATCTACAATAAATCTTACCTATATGTTTTTAACATACGCAATTACACGTCTCGTTATATTTCGTACATTATAAAAATTATACAGATCATACTGTGAATAGTTCTGACTGACAACGAAACCCATTAGCAAGCAACAGGGATGTCAATGTTAGTCGGGGACTATTGTGAACTAAAGACCTAGTTCAAGGAACTATTCCTCTGGAGGAACTAGAACTAAAGAACTAGTTCCTCCCAAGGAACTAGAATTCCCACCTCTAGTTCGGACACATATCGGAACAGCCACCGCCGAATTAACGAAGTATCCGGATTACTGAGGAATATTTTTATAATGTTATTGTTTCATACCTAGTTAAAAGTAGCGAACTTTTAAAGATTTTGTATTTCGAAGGGGATTATAACAAAATAACAAGTGTTTTATATTTTTGGAAAGGTAATTTTAAGTATGTTTCAGTTAATTTAAAATATATAGGGTGTCTCGAATAAAAAATCAATTTTTCTGTTGATCATTTTTAAATTATTAATTTTAAAAAAATTATACTTAAACCATTAAATTTTACGTAAAAAGGTGCTTTGGAAATGTTTTCACAAAAATACAAAATTTTCCATAGCAAAAAAGTTATAGCGATTTATTAAAAATGCATATTTTTGAAAACACCCTGTAACTCATAATCGGTAACAGATATCGATGTGCTATTTTCACCATCATGTTTTTAATAAAAATTGAGTTCCAGACACTGATATTAGTTTTCGTCGATCTCCTATAGAAAAGGGTGTTTCCCTTTAAAAGCGTCGAATTTGATCCACCCTGTATATGAACAATGCACCTGTTACCCAGTGTACAGTGAAGTCATGGTAGGCTTTGGAAAAAAGTTGCTTTTGACGTAATAGTATAAACGTCAAAATGTTATTAGATGAACATTTTGATAGTTTTAGCAGCGTTTTTTCTCTTTTGAAGAAAGGTATTTTTTAGAAAAGCAATCAAAAGATAAAAAAACGCTGCTGAGACTATCAAAATGTTGATATAATAATATTTTGATGTTTAAACTATTTCTTTAAAAGCAATTTTTTCTGGTACATTGTCGATTTTTTGAATAAAATAGTATTTTTTATCTTATTTTTTATTAGAATGGTCATAATCAAGAGGGTTACTGTTACCGCGTTCTAAAAATAAGTTAATTATGGGCATATTTTTTCGTATTTATTATAATCTTGCTAATATCTTTGGTTTGAAAGAGGATATCAAGATGCGGTTTTCGCTGACTTTTTAAGCTTTTATTACTCTTTACCATCAGCTAAAAATACATATACTATCGTATTTAACTATTTTGAAAAAACGCGAAATGTTTATTAAATTGTAAGACCGCGCCCCCTAACGTCTACATTCAAAAGCTTATTATTACTCTTTTTAAGGTATAATATAGAGTAAGAAATGCTCTTTTAAACGAGCCCTCGTTTAAAAGAGCGTTTCCAGTCCGAATATATTAATATTTAAATAAAAACAGATCGAACCTTCCCCCACCCGTTTATTTTGGCAGATAGGGGAAAATGGTTCTAACAAAAAAATTTAAAATTTTCTGAAGATTATGGAGCTATTATTTATAGTACTAGTTATCTAGGCAAAATTGTGTAAAAACTCCATTTACTTATTTTTTTATAGTAGTTGCGCCCTCTAGCGGCCGTTCTACAAACTTGAAAATAATTTCCAGCAATTTCTCATAGCCTCTTTAGTTATAAATATTTTTTTTTCCGCAAGCCCTACGGCTAATACTTTCCGAGATACAGCAGAGAGCTATTCTTAGTGGGACACCCTGTACATGAACAATGCACGTGTAACCCAGTGTATAAAAAATAATAAGTATTTTTATTGATAAATAGTGCACTAGGAGTAACCTACGTACCTCGATTTTTTATGCGAATGAAAAAGAGCGAAAATATGATAATACGAGGTTTTGCCATATTTTCGGCGGTGTGAAAATTGAAAATCAGCGACCGAACTGCGGCGTGTCGCGATTTTTCACGCGAACGCCGTTCTACTTTGTCGCTGTCAATGGCAGAGGCAAAAGGTCGTCTTCGATATATACATGAATGCGGTTGTGTTGAAAGCACTCTTGGCTTGTATGTGCATACGTAATACATCTATTTCTTCAACACTGCAGAAAGAAACCAACGTTTAAATTGTTTTACTAAATTATTGTTTCAAGGTAGAAGACTTTTTAAACTATTATGTCTTTAATTTTTAACATTTACACAATATTGAAGAATTAAGTTATCATGGAGTACATCGTCGGCTTTATGACGAAAAGGCGTATCTCGATTTTTGCTACTTTTCAATAGTATAATTTATAGAATATCATATACTTTATTTGGCCAATAAATGTAAAGTCTTTAATATTTTTATATAGTGTAT